GGGCTCTTACGGTTTTGTTCTTGGGCCCAAGCTTATGTTGCCCAAAAAGCATTTTACTAAATGAGATGACAACTGCTCTTATAAGGCATGCCATATTTCCCTCGGCAAGGGATATGAGATTGCTTCCTAATCATACTTCTTACCGAGCTCACGGGTCTTACAATCCACTCATCTTTGGGCCCAATGTCATCATTTGCACACTTCTGGTCGGGGTCTAGCTTTGATACCAAATTTTCACAGCCTACTTCCACTAGCAAGATATTGTCCACTTTGGGTTTGGGCCTTCACAGTTTTGTTCCTCGACTCAAACTTATGATAACACACTTCACCTTTCTCTCCCTAAGTGATGTGGGATTGCTCATCAGTCTTACTTTTTTACTAAACTCACCGATATGTAATGTCCCAAGGAAGTGTTGTTTGGGCCAAAATCTTGCGCACCTAGCCTAACACAGAAAAACCCAAAATGAGGCCACAAGGCCCAAGCAGTCTAGACTTTGAGAAATAAACAAGGATCAAAAGCCCAAATCAAAGGAAGCCAGCCCAGGATCTACCTAAAAACATAAATAAATAAATAAATAAAACTTGGGCCTCGGAAAAAGAGAGAAAAGGAAGAAGTCAGCCCATGGATCAACTCGGGATTGCCATGATTAAAAAGAAAAAAAGCCCAAAACAGGAATAGACCCACATGATGTTTCTGACTTAGAAAAGTCAAAATTCTCAACTGGGTTGATGAAAGGTTAACAAAAGTAGGCAACTAGGAAGAGACATCTCTCAATCTCTGACCATCAGAAGATCAAAACCCTTTTATATATTTAGAGATAATGTTTCTACTCCAAGGAAGGCACCATATTTCAAGGGATACGCAGGCTATGTTCTCAAAAAGAGATAAGCAAGAAAACAAGGAGTTGTTCAAACTGGAAAATCAAACTAACCATCACGGTTTTTGAGCTCTCATAAAGGGCAGTTAGAATTAAAGAGGGGTTAGGTTCTCTTACAAAAACAAAGAAGTGATTTGTCTTAAAAACTAACTATTGAAAGCTTATCTGCCAGAGCTGATTGAACCCTTTTTTTCTTTTACATTTAAAATAAATCTTTGAGAAAATTGATGCCCATTATTAAAAGAAAGAAACCCTACTCCAAAGCATTTTCTATAAATATAGGAGAGGGTGAACAGAGCGAAGACACACTCAATCAAACAATCAATCAAACAATCAAAAATCAACCAAAGGCAAAAACTCAAAATGATCACTTGATCACTGAGAACCTTCAAAACAAATTGGAGCAACCAGAAGCTCATTTGAGTCACAAGAGAAGCCAGCTATAGATCAAAACTTTCAAGTTCAAACTTAGAGAAATAAGTCATTCAAAACTAGACTTCTCTCGTTACAAATTTGGTTCAGCAAAAGCCAAGACAAGCAGAGTTTGAGTTTTCACAAATATGAAAACCTCAACAAATTTATAAAGAGCCCTGATCAAGCAAAACATGTACCATAGTGCAGTTCCGGCTCAGTAATCCTTAAGTCTAGCCACTTCTGCCCCTTTTAGATCAAAGAAGTCGCAGTTCTGCCCGTTCAAAAGCGTTCCAGGGCTTGAAATATATTAAAGCTCTGCCAAAATTGAACTTTGGTATCGATTTATAGCTGAAGCTAAGCAGTTAAAGTTGCTGACAGTTCAATCCAGCACAGACATACCCAGTCCAGCCCGGATTAGAAGCTTCTATTCAGGCAGAAATGGAATTTCAGCCACCTTTTTGTCTTTCTAAAGTTGATTTTTCCCTATCTAGTTTTGTAAAAGGCAGTTCTGCCTAAAACAGTTCATTTCATTATCATTTATTTTGGCCAAAACTACCAATCTTGTACTGAGATAAATTGTAAAGTCCTCACCAGTCTGAGGCAGGAAAAGAACTTACTTGAAAGATATTCCTTACCCAAATTCACAATCGTTTGTTTAAGAAATCAATAACTTGGGGCGCAAGTTATTTATTTTAAGAAGTCTATGAGAATTGTTATTGCTAGCAGTGGCACGCTCACACACTAAAGAAAGTTGATTTGTTGACCGATCAATGGTTTTTTAGCCAATGGAGAACTTTGCCCTTCAATCACAGGAACAAATACTAAACGGGAGAACAAGTGCACACCACTTCGACGCTATACCCCAAAATGACTAGTCGCTAATAAGGATCCATGCAATCTCTTATAAATCCCATACTGACCCAGTTTACAGATGTGGGACTCAACATGCCAAGCTAGGGTGTTACATACAATACCTTGATTTTATTTTTGGTCATGTAAAAGTCATATTTCAATACTGTAACATATATAGTCAACCACCTTTGAAGGGGCAGTCAATTACAGTAACTACACAAAATATAGACCCTATATGGCGGGGCTATCATTCACAATTGCACTATCAATACAACACCAGACCTTCGTGCTTCGGGTTTTCTAATGATGTGATTAGGCTTATCCTAGACAAGCTTAGTGATCCTATGGCTTGGTTGGACTGGGATGGCAGACACTTGGCACCATTAGTTATGCAAAGTAATATAATCAAGGACCTGGTGCAAACATATCTGGCAAAGTCAATTGGAAAAGGTACAAGGTGTTGCGTAGCTAAACAAGTTACGGAGTTTACAATGTGGAAATTCTTAAATGGGGACACATGGATCCCCTTAACATGTGTTCCACATGAGCCAAATTTGATAAAGCACATGTAAATCCCTTTAATAAACCAGTGTGTGTATAGTGATGTATGTTTGTTGTTCATAATTGAACTTCATAAATATATTTTGTTTCTTTTTTGTTCACTTCTTGTATGAAAATTATGTCGTTCTGTATTATTCACAATTACTTCACCTCATCCTTATTCATCAGGGGCCTTGATATGTTAGTAAATGGTGAGGGAAATGTGTAAATAGTGTGGGATAATAACTTTGGAATGCTAAAATAAGCCACATCATCAAAACCCTCTCTAACAACCTTGTCAAACTTACTCATAAAAGCAGCAACCTCTTTCTCTCTCTTCATGACTGGTAAGTTGACATTGGCTCTTCAAAACATTGAATTTTGCTTTGGAAAAACAGAACCTACTTTGAAAATGTTAAAAACATGCATTTTTTCTTTTCAAATAATAAATACATAGATATTTTTCATTGTTTTCCATAACATTGCATTAATTGAATTGAAGAGCTTGTCGGGGCATAAATTATTACAATAGCAAATAAGTCTTTTCAAAGTGTCACATAGGTCAATCAACTTTAACTTGAAGAGTTTAATTTGTTACTACTATTGGAGATGCTCTAAGGGTAATTACCATGAATTGAGAAAGTAAGGAATCGGGGAATTTAGGAATTGGAAAAGTAATGAATCGGTATGGGAAGAATCATTCCCATTAAGTTGTTTACTAACCATATGGAATCAACACATGAATGTAGTTGATTCCTATTGTTATTGTTTACTAATTCTCATGAATCATAACCTAAACTAATTTGATTACTACAATCTCTTGCACATGTAAATATATATTTTTCACCTAAATAACTTGTAAAAAAGGAAAATTGAATAATATAAGATACTATATAACGAGTGATGAAAAAACTAGTATATAATAATATACGGAATATAATAGGAAAAAAAACACAATTATAACACAGTGATAAGAAGCATAACAAGACAAGTAGAGGCTAGCAACCAAAGTGAAAAGGGAAAAAATTTGCTTTTTCCAATGGTGATTAGTAAATAGTCATTGAAACTTTTTTAAAAGGCTTCAAAGTTTGGTTTCTTCATTTTATGGGATGGAAGAACATAACAAGTGTCAATAGTTTTTGTTTTATGTCCATGTTCCTCCATATTGTAGTGCTAAACTAACCAATTTCAAATAATATTTGAACAAAATCATATAATAATAACCTAAGCATAATCTTGATAAGATTAAAGTGGCATAAGTTTTTATTTTTCTAGGGTTTGGGTGTTTTGGGATTATCTTAAAGTGGTAAGGGTATTTTGGAAGGTAGTAAGGAAAAAAAAGGAATGGGAATCAAATTAACTACCCTTCCCTAGTTGATTTGATTTCTGGTTTTGAGAGGATGTAATTATGGATTTTGAGATGGGACCTACATATTTTTTATTCATGATTACAAGTAAACACAGGGGAAATTCAGGAATGGAAATCATTCCATTTCTTCCCATACCCATTACTTATACGTAAACATGCCCCAAGTGTGGGAATTGGTTTGAGGAACATTAGTGTTGTTGAGGAATTAATTTCTTAGGTACTTTTAACCCTACAAGAAGTGCAGCCTTACACTACAAAGCCAGAGTATAGATAGATCTATTTCATAATAATCTCATCCACAGTTCTAAAATCCAAGCAGAGCAACCTCTCACCCTCATTTCCCAAACCAAAGCAGACCCAAAAAACCACTCACCTCACCCATTCATATTCACAGACCCAAAACTAGTACATAGCCGCCCAACGATAAGGCCTCCCCTACATCACCTTTCTCATACAAATCCTACAAAAACATGAAGGAAAAGAAAAATCAATGGCATAAGTAGAAAAACATAGCCATTTCTCCATTCATTTTCGTCGCATAAGGTATGGTTCATCTTTTGAGTCTTGGATTCAGCTTGGAGTCTGAAATTAAAGAATCGTGGAAAGTTGCAGATGTATTTAGAGTTAGAAAAATGAAATAGTCCGAGGGACTTACTAACAGCCTGGATTTGGACACTCAAATCCCTACTTCCTAACTTCTGCAACGAAGTATCATCAAGACTTGTCTTTTCATTCATGACTTGGAGTTGTGACTTTTACTAATTGAGCACAAGCAATTCATTTCTCATTAGTAAAATCATTCATTAACCGAACAAATTAACTCGCCGTACAAGAAAACTTTCTCAAAATCTCTTGTAGTTCTAGGCCTGTACATATATACAAAAGAAAAAGATAGCCACGCACTGCTGCGACATTAGTAACTCTTCCCGGTGCCTGAACAAAGAAACCTAGTCTTCAACGACACTGCATTAACAAGAAACACCCAAGTAGGGAAGGAAGGGATGAGACACAGTACTAAAGTTGTTGGACCTTTTAGTTACAGAGCTTGAAAGACGAGATAAAATCGTAAAACATGAACCTAGTGAAAACAAATACACACCCTTGATAAGTAGAATTGGGTAGGCTGCTTTTGTAGAATTGAACTGCGACTAAACCTTCAGATAGGACTGCTGGCTCGGGAGACCCCTGCATAATCACATTTGGAACGCTTCTGGAACTTATCCCTACAGCAGAAGTTCAACAAACATTCAGATGTAATTACAGAAATCATTGAGTGCTACTATTCAGGTTAGCCATCATGAAAACTGATTCTAACAATAAACTCACTGAATCCCCAAAATTATTTCACAAAGTATGGAAAATGTTACTCTTCTCACTCTGATTATCACCTTGATGGACTGAGGACAGTTTTCAGATAATGATGGGGGTTATTTTGTTTCTAAAGTGAGTGATAGTAAGAGTGGAGTATTATCATTTCAGCAAATGATCTCTTTCACTATCATTTTTGTCATTATTCAAAAAAAGTGGCTCCAGCAGAGGCGGAGGAGTAGAAGGATGAAGTAACGAAGTTAAAGAAGCTGGATTTTTCAGTAAGCAACTAACATAGTAACAAAAAAGAATCCCAATATGTTTGAGTAGGCTTGTGTAACATCAAAATACTAGTAAAGGTAAACGATTTTGTTATGGAACTGTAAATTATACAAACTCAAAGAATCGCATTCTCAAAGCCACAAGAGAGTTATATTAAAATCTGATGTGGGAGGATTTATAGAGTGCAACATTAAGAAGGCCCGTCTACGCATCGTACATGAGATTTCAGATGAACTCAGATCCTAGCTAGTGAAGATAAAAAATAAAAATAAAATCCTTTTTTATTCTTTCCATCTTCAATGAGCTGTTTTGTACTCAAATTACCCTGAGTTGAACAAAAATCAGAACTTATGGTCCAATAGACAAATAGCAAAAGAAATTCCAAAAACGAAATAAGACCACCAATGAAATAAAGAAAGAGCCGCAGCCCATAAAAGAATTAGGTGAAACCACAAAAAGAGCTGCTTCAGGATTCCTGCTTAAAACCGCAAATGGATACTCCAAACCTGAATGCTCAATGAGAATGCTCTGTACACAAGTATCAATACAATGTTTCATAGGGATAAACAAATCATTGGGGTTCTGTTCTTTTATTTTTCAAATCAGAATAAAAAAAATTTTAAAGTTCTGTAAAATAATCAGATGTAGCTTATAAGTAACAGAACCGAATGGGAATGTAATATCCGTTAAATATAGTATCACACACAAAAAGAAGAAAATGGAAGGAAAAGGACTCAATTATATGCTGAAAAGCCAATCTACCTTGAAAGATTATGACAAAGAAGAACAGTAATGTGATGATCATAGCAGATATGCCACTTTGTAAAGATGATGACTTTGATGCTTTCATCTTCTTCGCTGCTTTCCTTTGCTCAATTCGTGCACGCTTTCTCTTGGCCAGCTCAGTGATCTCCCTAACCAACTTCTGGTCAGCGGCATCCAGTGATGGACCTCTAGGAGGTCGTGGTGGCTTAGGAGCATTCCTAGAGTTGGGCTTCCTACGCCACTCATTCTCGCTCGTCTTTTCTGCAAGGGTCATATGTCCTTGATTCTCTTCCACTTCTGAATTCCTTTCTATTAGTAACTCCACACTGTCATTTGTAACCTCACCAGATTTCTCTGAACTGCTAGATGATTCAATGCCACATGTACACACAACTGATTCATTGGAACTCAGTAACCCACCCAAATCACTATTCAAGAATTTCTTTTTTGGTCCTTTGCTTGAAACAAGCTCTAAGCTTGCATCTTCTTCACTAGTACTCCCTCCACTTTCAAGGTCTAATTCAAATCCTTTTTCTCTGGGAGCCATATGAATCCTTCCAAGCAAAGTAGGACAACCCTTTGAGCTCAACTGAAGTTTCAAAAAAGCCCTTCTAGCTTATGACTTCAGATGTAACTCCTTGTTGTAAAAAGCCTAGAATTCTCAAAGAACCACATTGACCCCTCAGAAACAATCAGAACTCTGCAAGGGAAATCAAAATTGCTCATTTATTTGCACCGGCTCCAAAGATTCAATGTTCATAGAAGAAAGAAAAGAGACATGTGGTGCTGTTGAAACATGTTTAAAATTAAAGATGTCAAATGTGATACAAAATTTTTAAATAAAAAAGGAACAAAAGGAAAATGAAACAAGCAAACTGTGAACACCAAAAAATGGAAACCCCTACCTAACTTGATATTACCCAGCTGAGGCTCACAAGTCATATAATACTGTAGTGTACCATTACCACAAACCCAAAAGAAACAACCAGAGCAATGAAAACGGTAGTTGCATAGTAGAACTGTAGAAACAGAAGTACCAGAATGACAAAAGTGGATTCTGCATCAAATTGTTGCCAGCAAACAAAAGCAATGAAATGCCCAAAAAAAAAATATTATCAAAGGGAAAATAGATAGTACCTTGAGTAAACGAGAAGAACCGCTGAAACCCATGGTTCGGTTTGGCGATCTCAGGTCAGCACGCACACAGAATCAGAATCACACACAGGAGTTACTTTTCTCAGAAAATGAAAACAATGGTAGGAGAGGAGAGGAGTAAAATAGAAACACGAGAAATCATAAAATAAAAAATTTGAATATTCTTCATATTTGTTATTTAAATTATTTTGTGTTTTTGTTTCCTAGTGCCTTTGTCATAGCCTTAAACAACAGCTAAGAACGAGGACGTGTTGAAGTGTTAGGTGATAGGTAGTCCGGGGACGGCAATGGCTGCGCCCTCATTGGTTTGTGCCTATTGACGTGTTGGAGACCTATAAGCTTGGGTCCCACACACGAAGTGAGCTTCACTTCATCACCTTCATTTCTTTTTTTGGGTCACTTCATCACCCCCTAAATCTTCAGTTCATCACCTGATGTTATTTGACATAAAAAAGGGCTAGGCCCAAACAAACAAGAAATTCAAAAGCCCAAACTAACGAGAGGGAGACTAGCATGAGGGGTTCCTTAATAGTCGTCCAATCATCCGTTGCAGAGTTATTATTGAACTGTTGAATTGTAACCCCTTAACATAGCTCCTCATTACAGAAGTTCCCGTAAAAGAATTAATAATTTATGTAGTAATTCGACATATTGAAAAGAAATTTTTATTTTATTTTATTTGAAATGTATAATCACATTCATTTATTATATTTTTTAAAACAACTTGAGCTTATATAATATGTAAAAGCTTTACAAGTGATTAAAAGAAACATAAAAATAAAAATTTGACTGTTGAGCTTTGTAGACTATTAATTTGACATTAGATTATTCGGTTGACGCTTCATCCTTTTAAACATCACATAAGGCTAATAGATGCTTAACTCAAAGCCTAACATACAACAGAATAGACACCAACAAAAAAGAAAAGGAGCACGCTTCAAATTCAGTTCTACTCCCATCCCATCCCATGCCTCTATTTATCAGCATGTATACTAGCTGCTAGAATCACCAGCCCCCAACAACTTGTTCCCAGTTTCAAAATAAGCGTAAACATTTAATGTAGCCAGCTTAACCTGTTTTTTGTTGAGTTTATTATTACACCAGTCGTTAAAAACCGCACTTGTAGGCTTCTGAAGCTTCAACAAATTAAGCTCAAGAGCCAGTTCATCAACCCCACAAGCAGCAAGGTGAGGTTGCCGCATAACATTTCCAGCCAAACCCTCAAATCAAAAGCGTTCTTGCAACCAAAACCATACTCCTTCTCCAACTTGGCTATATTTTCCCTGATCCCAATCCCCACAAACGTATAATCCGGTAGACGAAGAAAATTGAGGAGCGACCGCGGCGCTGAATCCAAGTAAGGAAGCTGAACAATAAGGCAGCAATCGCCATCACATAGAGTTAAAATTGCAAGTTTGGTTTTTGATGGAGTTTCTGAATCGGAATCTAATGAATCATGGACAAAAGTCCACTCAGTGTCAAGGCCTATAACCTTTTTTCATTGCTAGCAGCATTGGACATAAAATTCCTTATTCAATCATCTACGTCTATGCAGCAATCTGCCACCGTTGTATGTAGACTGAAACGCTCCCTATAACTACGCTACTTGTAGACATAATTCATAAACACACAAAATAATCAGCATCCTTCGTATTATTACAAGGAACCCTACACACGTAGTAATAATGTCAAGGTAATTTTGTACTTTACTTCAAAGGGTTTCATGCAGGCATACATAAGGTCATAACAGTAGTTTGGAATTGGAAAGATCAAATGCATGTAGGGTACGTCAAAAGATAAAGAGAAATTTATTGCTAATTTATTCTCATCTATGTTTTGCATCCCTCTTCAATTCTTTTATCAATTTCGAACTTGAACAGCCAGCTCTAATGTTAACAACGGAAGCTTTCTCAGTTCCCATTCAATCACTCAAAAGGATGCTGCGAATTGAACCGTGATCTTCAATCAACGGAAGTACATGAACATACAGATTTTGCAAATGGATATACAAACTCTTCAGATGCTCCTGTATTTATAGAATTAATAAAACTCTAATCTTTCATTATCCATAAAATCTATCAAATCCAAAGAGACATTAGACGAAAGCGTACTTATAGGGAAAGCCACTGAATTCCAAAATAAACTCAAGTCACACTTCCAAATTACATAGAATTGCTCCACACTATAGTCAAAGACTCGCCAACAACTATTTCAATGAATTAACCAGCAAATCCCCAAAAATAAAAACGTTAAAAACATCAATAGCAGCACTCTGGATTTGCTCCATGCTAAGATTCTCAGCACCCCAGTCTCCCATGACAACGCTCAAAGGCTTTGGTTCAAGCTCAACGGCTCCACTCATAACAGCCATATTAACCATCAGCGTCAAGTCCACCGCATTCCTACACACAATCCCATACTCCCTCCTAAGCAAGGCCAAGCTCTGAAATATATCAACGCCCACAAAGCAAAAGAGAGGAGCAGCCAAAAAGTTGATCAGCGACTGAGGGACACTATTATTCGTTACCATTTTGTTGAGTTGTATGATGATGCAGCGAGAGCCTGAGCAAAGTTGAAGAGTGGCAGCTTTGATCTCATCAGTAAACTCAACGTGGAAGCCGATTATAGGAGGCCTTGATGATGATGAGTTGGTGTAGTTGCAAGAGAGTATGAGTTCTGTGATGAAGCTGTCCACAAAAGAAGCACTATTTATCACAGTGGTTTTCACTGCATCACCATTCACATTCACATTGTATGTTGCCATTTCTTATTCTTCTTGGGTGGTAGTACTCTGCGTATATGACTTAACATCTCTTCTCAAACTGATATATATGCACACAGGTGACTTGCCCACTAGCTAGGTTAAAATCTAAAGGGCTCTTGGAGTTCTTCTTGGAAATGGAAGATTTTTAATTTTCTGTCTAGCTAGGTTAAATCTAAAGGGCTCTTGGAGTTCTTCTCGGAAATGGAAGATTTTTAATTTTCTGTTCAGTATTGGAAACCCGGCCAAGTTTAATGAATACATGCTTGTCTGTTATCATTTCTTCTCGAAAAAAAAGAAGAAAGAAAAAGAGCAAAGGGCTTGTCTTGTGGAAAGCAAACTATGCCAATGCCAACCAACAAATTGAATCTTAATCATAGCCCATTTTTAAAACGAGACCTAAGAGCATCTCCAAGGGAGATGTTAAATACCAAACATTAAATTTAAATTTGATGGCTGATGTGGCAATTTGACATCTTATATAATTTTACACTCCATTCGATATGTTAAATTAAATTATTATTTTATTACATTTTAGTGTTGATTTATTTTTAATTAAAAAGAAAAGAAAATAATAAAATAATAAAATATTCATTTGACATCTTTCTTTTGGAATATCAAAAATAACATCTCAATCTCCAGGCTTCATTCCACATCAGCTTTGACACATCGATTGGAGTGACGTGAGATGTTATTTCTAGCCGTTAAATGTCTATGTGGCACTTTTTACACATCGGTTAGAGATACTCTAAATTCTAATTATGATATGGGTGGGGTTCTGATTTATCTAAAAAGGGTTGCTGCATCTTTGGGGTTAGCCTAAGGTATAGTTCAATTGTTTTTTTTCTAATGCGCACAACTATTGTATTGTATATGAGATGCCTTTTCCTCTTATCAAGCTCCATTCCATTAAAAAAAAGTCACCATGCAATCCTGAAGGCCCCATTTGGTTCATGGGAAAGAAGACTTGGGGATAAGAAATTAATTGCTTATCCATTTTCGGTAAGTCCAGATATAGGAAATCGTTGTCTAGCCCATGAGAAAGTAAAGGGGAAAGTGAAACCATCCTCCCAACTTGGGTTTTGTTTTCCCTCATTATGGGAAAGTTTGAGAAAATGAGCCAACATTAAATACACATTTTTCATGACCATTTTGTCCCCATTAACAATTTATAATTACAATATATAATTAAATGCATTCTTTTTTTATTTGATTTAATATAGATATAATTGAAAATTTATACGAACTTTGTTTTCCATTCATACTCAAAACAAACATAAGAAAGGAAATAAAGTGGTATCTCCCAATTACTTTTCCAGTATTACTAAACGTGAGAAAGGAATCATTCATTTCCCATTTCTTGAGAAATGACATGGGAAACTATTTCCCCTCAAATTCGTTCCGTGAACCAACGGAGCCAAAGTGCAATCCAATCACTCCCTAGAGTTAACCTACCAACAGCTAAAGAGGTCACATATAAAGCCTTTTTTGGGTCGCTGACCACTAGGAGATAATAATCATTTCATGCTTACCAGTAAATCCACATAAGGCTGCTTAAAGGCGAATTTTCAGAAGATCACGGAAATGGTACTATAATGATTAGCTCAGTTTTGATCTAGGGATTTCTACTTTTGATTACCCTCCTCTTTCGGTTAGCTCAGTTTTGTTGCTCCCTCTAGAGCCGTTTGCATTAGGGCCAGTTTTTTCCTTTGTTTTCGGGGCTTGGCCCCCTTTTAACCAAAGGTGAACTGGTACTTACCGTATTGTAACAGGGTCGTACGCATCAGTACTCAAAACAAGTATAAAAACCTTCCAATCCTGGGAATTAAGGAAGATGAACAATTCTAACAAATGAAAAAAATTATTAGAACCCATCCAGGTGCCTCCCCTGTTCAACAGTAGGCAGCGTTGTGTTGCAGCGAAATAATTGAAAAATTCAACAATGGCAATCACATCGACGTACTATTAAGATGAAGAGTATCTACTTTAATTATAACCCAATGAATACTGTCAAAAATCCAAACACCACTAGCCAATGGAAATCATGTCTCACTTCTTTACAACAAGTTCTAAACAGAACTGAGTCACCATATTGCAAAACAGCAGCCGTACCACTCGATTAATGTGCACAATTCTTCCCTCAGTTTTAAATCATAGAAAACATGCTTACCTAGATTTGGTGCTCCCCTGTGCATACCGCTACATTACTCAGACCTGCACCCTGAAAAATTTTCAGAGCGGAATTTAACTAGTGCTAAATAATCAAACAATAATCTGCAAACCACATTAACAATTCCAACATCCTAGTTCCCTAGCCAACCCAACACCCCCAAGATTCACAAATCGACATTCTGTGTGGTTGCTAAAAGCATTCTACTAAAATTTCAGCTCCGCATCCTTAAGAACCACGTTAAATAGTGTTTACCTTAGATGAACCTGGATATACGGGATATTCAACTTTTCGGCCAAAACATAAGGTAACAATTTAAATCCTTTTAAGTTGCCTGAAGGGTAAGACTACTCACCAAATGTAATTGCACTTAAACATTCAGTATCGACCGTAACCTCTCCCATAATCATCATGCCTCTGACGCTGGAACTCGCCAAAGTTGTCATGAGGCCTTGACGGATAATTTTCCATAGGGTTTGGGTATCTGCTCCTTGAATCCATAGCTAAACTGGCCCCGGCATAATGAGGATTGGCTGAGGAGCCATCATATTCATTATAATTCTGTGATTTATAACCACCAAAACCTGAAGTCGACATCTGCTGATTAGCCTGTTGTTGATGCCTCTGGGCATCAATTTGAATAAAATCCTCCCACTGTTTTGCATGCATCCCCCTCAGGGTACCCAGTTTCTTCATGTAGTTCTCTCTCATTTCCCTAATCACCTTTTATCCGTATAATACAAAGTCAGATACCATAAATTTGTAAAAAGAGATCAAGCGTTTTAAAACAATTACGTTTGGTAAGAAAACAGGCACGGTAGCTGGAGATATGCTAGACACAAGTTTTCCTTTTATGTTAAGAAAGGTATAGGATCGTCAAATACCCAATTATCACTTCAAGCAACAAGAACAGAATTAAAAGTGTTCATTCTATTTATATTTTCGAGAGTTGTAAGGTAGTCCATACCTCACGATGTTTGTAATTTTCTTCATCTTCTTCCTTGTCACGAATTCTTCCAAGTTCCATTGCCTCTCTTTTGTACTCCAATTCTAATTCTTCTAATGTCTGAGGGGTGGCAGAGTAATCAAACTGACGACCAGATTGCATATCAGGTCCTTTTTTATCAGAATCCCACCCATCATTTCTATAAGTAGCCATGCTCTGATTATGACCATCATATGAACTATACGAGTTTCCCATGTAAGGGGCACGGGCTGGAGAATTTGAATGACTTGGATGACCTCTAGCTCCATCATTACCATAAGCTTCATGAAATGAAGAGTATGTTAAGCACTTGATTCAAGATGCTAACGCAGATGTCAGCTTTAATTCAACATACTGTCTTATTTTCAGAGAGAAACGATCTGAGGCAAAATTTCTGGATATGCTTTCAGTAAATGATTTGATTTCCGACACAACCCGATCAATTCAGACCCAAGTTACTTCAGAACTCTACGTAGTACACACAATTCTTGAGATAAGAACTTACCTTTTGCTGCAAACAAATGATAAGCAACAAGCCGATTCTTTCATAAATGGGAAAATTTTACAGACAGCAGGTAGGAAATTCTATGGGAACCTAACAAGCTACGAACTTCCTATATAGACCATAAACATACCCTATGCTGCCCCTACCTTGTGGAGAACCCCTGGAAAATTTCTGCATATCCTGACGTATACGGTCTTCAACAAACTTCTCCTGCCTGTGAAATCTTTGTTGAAAATGTGACCCATTTCGGGGACCAGAATGAGACCTCTGGGATTCAGAGCGTTGTAACCGTGAACCAGCAGGACTTTGCTCAGATGACCTTGATCTAGTCATGTGAGAACCAGAACCATCTCTTTGCTCACCTTCCTCTCTAATCACTTTGTGCACAGCATCCACCCCCTTTCTTAATATTAACCTATCCTTGCCACTGACAATGATAAATTTTTCCTCCATCTTAATATTGCAGCCAATATCCTTTTCAATCCTGTCTATCACTTTCTCTGTGAAAAGTGATTTTACATGCTTTTCTCTAGCAGGTACCCTTTCCAAGAAATCTTGAGACTTGCGATTTGCTCCAAGCGTAGATGGACACCCCTAAAGATTCACCAAAATTCATTAGAACATATTTTATCATAAGGAAAAATAAAACCCTTCTCTTTCCATGAATATAATCACAATATATTTTTTTTGTACCAAGAAATCCACCAATCTGCTTTTGCGGACATAGCTTTGAAACTGGGGGCCCCCGCCGAGCCATACAAGCTTTGGGAGGGAGGAAACATTAGCAAATAGCTAGATAGGTACCTCTGGGGGTTTCGAACCTCAGACCACATGGTAGCGCAAACCATGGGCCTGTCTACACATGTTGGTGTAACCACAAACCAGCTAAACCCCACATTGGTAATATTTAGGAATAAATCGAACCACAAGCAAGTCTACACATGCTATGCGGTTCTATCAGTTTTTATGACCTTGCATAAATTTCTATCACGAGTATATTTTTGCAATGAGGTTCCTAAAGTACCAGTTTCTTTGAAGAAAAAATCATAAGTCATTTTGGTGAAAATACTAATGTAACAGAAATATAGTATGGAGAACAGAAGACACAAGTCAAATACATAATATGACTAATAGCCACCAACCTAAGTGAGCTACAGCTTGATTAGCAACATAAACAAACAATGCCAATTGAAAGTAGCTTTGGAACACAGCTCATAGAGGTATATGGAATCTGTTCTGTTCAGACAAATAAAACGCTCTACCTGCCCAAGTGTATGTGCCTGTCGGGAAGTTTATTGGGGTGTGTGTGTGGGTGTGAGTATCAAGATGCAGAGATGGGATACCTAATTCCAGTAATAAACCTAAAACTCCGAAAACAGGGGTACCCTGAGCGAAAGTAGGTTACCAACAGAACTAGTATGTGTGGAAAATCTGAAAAGATACAGCATCAATCTATCTGAACTTGAAATCTAGCAGACCACAAATGTAAACTCTCGGGCAGAAGCTGCTTCCAATTACTAAGTCAATTACAAAATGGTCTGAGCTATTCCAATTACTAGAAAAGGTGTTTTATAAATCAGCAATTGAAAAATAAAAGACGAAAAGTTTGTGTATGTGTGTGTGGCAAATATTTACCTGAGTAAAGTGACCAGGTTCCCCGCAGATTTTGCAAATCATTTCCTCTTCCTTCCTCTTCTTCCAGTTCCTCTCAGTAGCTTTTGACTTGGCCTCCCAAACCTTGGCTTCTCGGCTGGTGAAATCAGTTGGGACCGCGTTCGGGTCGCGAGTTTCCTCTTCCTCGTCAGACCCGGTAAGGGACCTTTTGTTTGGCTTTGCCCTATCTTGTGTGTTTGTGGCATTTGACCCAGGAGGGCCAGTGTACTCCTTGTATAGTTCGCTAAAATCATCATCAATATCAGGGTCTGGTCTCGTTTCCATCTAACTCAACGTTATGAACTCTAACGTTGCACAACACAAAACCAAACCTTATCAGTATCCTCCATAGCCATCAAATTACATAAGCAAGAAGATAAATAATGCATCTTTAAGACATTCCCAAACACCATCTTATTGAATATTGATATTGCAGTCCTATGAGGACCCAATTCCCAATCGATCAAGTTCACTTACTAAGCAAAAAACTTTGCATGAATTTCTAAACAAAAGCAGCAATCAATGATAAAAATGATAACAAGCTCTGTTTTTCTGGGCAGAAAATCTTCGTGAAAATTAAAAAATAAATAAAGTTTTTAAAATCCACTACGTGATTATACAATAACATAATATGGCAAATTAGGGGCCAAGTGAATGCTTGAATGAATCCAATCTGGTGTACGGAAGGGTGTTTCTGTGGAAGAAACGAAAATATTACCTGAAGAGTGAAGATAGTGGAGCCGCAAAGCAAAGGCTTTGAACGTCGATGAGGAGAAGCTAAGGCCTAGGGCTGGGTTTGTTAATCTCTGCAGCAGGCTGATGTTTCTTTGTTATTTCTAGATGTCACTCTTATTTTATTCAAATTCTATATCCGCCCCCAAAATCCACTTTTATGTACTCTACAGTCAAATATGGATGAGTTTCACACATAGTATGAAATATCGATAATATCGACGAAATATCAAGAATATTTCGGTTTTTTCGAATCACGGATATTTCAGAACATATCTATGTACATATTGTATAAATATTGACAATAATATCGGAAAATATCGATGTTGATAATTTCGCTCATACTTCAGCAATATTTTGTCAAATATATGTGTGTAAATCGCTAAATATATCGAAAATATCAAAGAAAAAAAAAAAAAAAAAAAAAAAGAAGAAGAAAAAAAAAAGGGAAAATTGGAGGGAAAAAAAACACAAAGGGGATTTGAACCCCTCCCATTTTACTCCTTCAACACCTTAACCACCATATATCACTTATGTTTTAGTGATAATATGCTAAAATATTTATATTTATATGGGTGACATGTTAACAATTACATGCAAAACTATTTTGGAGATTTATCATTTGATGAATACTCTTCACAATACACTTACTCTACACATAGAGATGATGAAGATAGTGAAAAATTTGAACCTCATAAGAACTCTATGTGGTACTAAGTCAATCATGTATTTTACCATGCAATGTATAAAGTGTAAAATATTGTAGTAAATCATTATATATAAATGATTATGGTGTGTTTAATCTTTTTTTCATTAATTACTACATATTTTATACACTCATGGTGTTTGCCAGCTCGCTGTATAATCAACTTAAATCAATTAAATCCATCATGTAATGCATTTCCTTCTATGTATTTTTTATTTTTTATAAACTAATAGATAATTGACTAAATAAATATTCTTCAAAGTTTCAATAAAAATTTACAAGTTTTTCTTACAATTTTCGTGGTTTTTATTCAATTTTTTTATCGATATGGATAATATCCTGATATTTCCATCGAAATTTTCATATTTTTGGACTATTAATATTTCAGATATCATCGATATTTTAGACCACATTTCACGCCGGACTAATCCATTAGTGTAATGCTTTGGAATAATTGTTCCCCAGGAGAGGTTCTAGGTTCAATTCCTAACATTCGTGTAGTATGTGTATATTTAATATGTGATCGCCTTTCTCAATAGGAAATGTCTTCAAAAAACAAAACCAATTACGTCAAACCAAAAAAATATTACAAGTTACAACCTAATTACTATCGAACATATTTCCTTCGATTTTTTGGGTTTTTTTTTACTACAATAATCCCTGAATTTATACTCGAGAGTTTCAATTTGGTTCTCAAACTTCATTTTGAATCAATTTGGTCATCCAATTCTCCTAGTTGTGCCAATTGAGTCCTTCCATCACAATTTTCATTCATTTTAATCACATGAATGGCACATGACATACTTTTTATGGGTAAATCAAATTTTTGGGAAGTTTGGGATTGATTAGTGTTTAAGGCTAAATTGAGAGTTCTATTAAAGGGTTATGGCTCAAATTTGGGGATTTAGCAGTTCTAAAAAAACTTTCATACCTTAGAGTCTTGGCATAGGCGATAGTCGCTCTCATCTCCTTCAACAACGAAAAAAGTGAGACATTTGGGGTTGGAGGAGGTTCAAGCTCTCCAACTACTTGGGGATATGTAGGTAAGTATGATTTCAAATTGAAGGTTTTAACCCTCAACTAGACAACCAAATTGACATAATATGAAGGAATGACTCAATTAACACAACTAAGATAGTAGGATGGCTAAATTGATCACACACAAAAAAGGACCAAATTGAAACTCGAGGTATAAGTTCACATACCATTGCAATTAAAAACCCTGAATTTTACAAAAATCATTAAGTGAAAACAAATCAAAAACCAAACCCCAATATTTTTTTCTTTTCCATTTTTTCAAATTAGTTGCCCAATTTCATAGCATACTAACATCCTTTTCATTTTACACCATAAAAGCCACACATCCTTTTATAATAGTTAAATTTCAAACGTCCTAAAATTTATCATTTGGTCTCATTCTATTCCCCTTCGTTGATTCAGGGCTCATTTGGACTACTTTTCCACTAAGCACTTGTGCTCATAAGTGCTTTTGTTAGAAGAGCTTTTAGGATTCATTTGAGAATGATTTTGGGAGAGCCAGAGTCCCTTATAAGTGATTATAGGGAGAATCACCTCCCATATGGTTCTCCATAAATCACTTAAAACCACTTAGAGCCAGTTTGGCATTGTTGTGCTATGAAAATAATCGTTGTCAGATTGTTGTGAGAGAAATCAGTTATGAGAGAAAGCAGTTTGGCGTTTGGTAAAATGTTTGTTAAAAGTGTTTTGGTATTGATTCCCACATAATCAGAAAATGATTCCCTCATTATCATTAAACTTAGCGCCTCTTCAAAATTGATTCCCTCATAATCAGAAAATGAAAGCACTTAATTAGTTGTTTTCCCTTATAGTTTTCTCTCACAACAATTTTTAACAATAAGTGATTTTCTCATAGTTTATCAAATGGGTTGGGCTTCCCAAATTTTTTTTAAAATCACTTATCACTCCAAATAAGTAATGTCAAACAGGAATTAAGTGATTATATTATGAAGAAGTGATTCTCCACATAAGTGTGTAGGGGCTTTTTCGTTCTGGCAGCTACTGATGGGCTTGGGCTGTTGTAAAGAGCCAAATTTATGAAATTGCCCATTGAGTTTGAGTTCGAGGATCAGACCACAAGAGTGTTTTGAAAGGGTAGCTGAGCCTTAGGAAACACATTGGTCTTCTTCACAAATGAAACCAACAGTCGCTTACAAATAAATTCTTAGCTTGACATGAAAGGCTTGTGGCGTGAGAGTTGAGCATTCATGAGTTTAGCATGAGAAAGAGAAAGAGCTATGATTTCCTATGAGAAACAGAGGTTTAAAGCAAAGGGGAAGGGATTTTAATGAGATTCATTGAAGAGAGAGAGAGAGAGAGAGAGAGGAGAGAGAGAGAGAGAGAGAGAGAATAAGTGGGTGATCCAGGAGGATCTATTAACAAAAAGAAACATAATATAATATAATTATAATTAATTATATTATATTATTAAATTATTTAAAACCATAAAAACTAATGGTTTATAACGAATTGTTATAAACCATAAAAAGTTAATGGTTTCAAAATGAGTATGATTTTAGGCCATTCATTCTTTATGGCTTAAAATAATTTACTATTTTAGTTTAGTTAATTTTAGCAACCGAACCTTGTATAAATACGTAAGTTATTAATCGAAATGAATCAAGCAATTCTGAAAGCAGAACTCAAAGAAGTTCCTTAGCTTCTTCCTTTTGTTTCTCTAATTGTCTTAAAATTCCTCTCGTTCCTTTATTCCTGTAAACTAGGAATTCATAGTTCTATCGACTAGAAGTTTTGGATCAAGTGGTATCAGAGCACCAGATCCGAGTGCGTGACAGTGGTTTATGGTCTCAACTCGCAACCAACGCAAAGCTTCTGGAGAAGAACTTTTAGGTCCTTTGCTCGTACACCGAAAGCCAAGGTCCAAGAGAGACAATATGACTGGAGAAAACAAACATAATACATCTAGTGATGGCAATCACATCACTAAACTTGAGCAACAAGTTGAAAACTTGTCTGCATCAATCCTTAAACTCGTGGAGAGTTTAAAGACTGGAAAATCTTCACGTCCATCAACTTCATCTGAGCCTAATCAAAAGCTCAAGAAAAAGGTTGTTGAGGATAGCGAAGATGAAGACGACATACAAGTTGATCCAATGAAAAAGGAAGCTGAATCAGGTGATAATAAAAATTCTATTGATACCTTAAAGATTGATTTTAAGGTTGACATCCCTATATATAAAAGAGATGTTGATCCTGAAAAGCTAGATAACTGGATAGACACATTAGAAACTTATTTCACACTTTATAAGTATTCTAATGTGCAAAAAATAAAATTTGCGATTTTGAAATTGTCAAGCCATGCCCTTACATGGTGGAAGTCCTATCAAAGACGGTATGATGTCTCAGAATTGACTTGGAAGAACTTCAAGAAGCTTTTGAGAAAACAATTTTATCCAGTTGGCTATGAAGATGAAAGATGGTATAAGTGGCAACACTTCAGACAAAGATTTGGGCAGCCTGTACAAGAATATACAACAGAGTTCCACAACCAAGCTATGGTTCTGGACATTGACGTCGACGACTACGACGTTTTCATGAAGTATACCGGAGGTCTTGCCGACTACATACGGAAATAACTAAAATTGTTCACCGTAGATACTATTGAATAAGCTACGGTGAAGGCCATCGCCATTGAGGCGAAAAATAAAAAAACTGACAAAAAGGATGACAGATCAAAACCTGTCAACAAAATTGACTGGCAGAAAAAGGGGAATCAGAGCAAGGAAGGTCAGACACAAAAGGTCTACTGTGATCACTGTCAAACCAGCAGACATGCCAAAGACAAGTGCTGGATACTCCATCCTGAGTTACGGCCAAAGCATGAGAAAAACAATCAGGGGAGAAATGACAGAAAAGCCACCTTAACTGCACAACAGGCAGAAGAGCTTCCAGAGTTGAAGCAACCTGATGTTACACTTACCCTTATGACAAGACCAATAGATACTGAAGACACGTACAATCGTGAAGAGTTGTTTCATGTGAATATTCAGGTGAAGCAAAGTGTTGTACAAGCTATCATTGACCCTAGAAGTCAGAAAAACCGGATTTCAGAGGCTTTAGTAAGAAAATTGGGTTTAGACGCCACATCACATCATAAGCCGTACCAGCTAGGATGGATTCAAAAGAACGTTGACTTACAGATCACGAAGAAATGTACCTTCAAATTTGCTATCACCAATCGATATATCGATGAGGTGACATGTGAGGTGGTTCCTTTGGATGTTTGCTAAGTTATATTAGGCAGTCCATATTTATGGGACCGAGATGCCATCCACTATCGAAGGCTTCGCAAGTATTGACTTATGAAGGATGGGAAAGAGTTCCACATCAACGCTTGCAAGCCTCAAGCTACAGATAATTTGCTGACAGCTAACCAAGCCAAGAGGTTAGTTAATTCATGTGGGCGATTCGTTTTGTTGATGATTCGACCGCAAGATCAGAGTTCTAGAGCTGAGACATTGTCTACATTGTCTTTATCTCCTACGCAATGCTCAGACATAGGGAAATTACAAGAGAAGTTCAAGGACTTATTTCATGATGTGTAGGGTTTGCCACCACGGAGAGCTGTGGAGCATGAGATCCAATTGGTAGGAGATTCACCTCAACCAAACTTGGGTATGCATCGTACTTCTTTGATGGAATCTGACGAGATGAAAAAGCAAATTCAGGGACTTCTTGAACAAGGAGTTATCAAACCTAACTGCTCACCATGTGGTTCGCCAGTGTTATTTGTGCCTAAGAAAGATGGAGGTTGGTGTATGTGTGTTGATTATAGGGCACTCAACAAAATAACCATCAAGAATCGGTATCCACTGCCGAGGATTGATGACCTGCTAGATCAACTACATGGTGCACGCTACTTCACTAAGCTTGATCTCAAATCTGGCTATCACCAAGTCCGCATCCATGAAGAAGATACTTGGAAGACTGCATTCAAAACAAAGCATGGACTCTTCGAGTGGTTAGTCATGCCATTCGGGTTATGTAATGCTCCAACTACCTTCATGCAATTGATGAATGAGGTACTCCGCCCTTTCATTGACGACTTCGTCATTGTGCACTTAGATGACATTCTCATATTTAGTGTCACATGGGAGGACCATATTCATCATATTGCTCAAGTTTTGGAGGTTCTACTAATAAATTAGTTACAGTTAAACGGTAAGAAGTGTGAATTTGGGAAACAACACCTCGTATACCTAGGATTCATTGTTGGTGCAGGAGAACTGAAAATGGACCTAGAGAAAGTACATGTGATTTCTCAATGGCCTACACCCCGTTCAGTGACTGAAGTTCGGAGCTTTATAGGTGCATGTCAATATTTGCGAAAATTTATTCGGCACTTTTCACAAATTGCAGCACCCTTACATTCACTTACAAAGGCCAATCAAAGGTTTGAATGGTCGAGAAACCATGAAGAATCTTTCTAATTGTTGAAACGAAAGATTACAAAGGCCCTAGTACTAGCATTACTGAATCTGCAGAAACCATTTGAAGTATAAGTAGATGCATCAAACTATGCCATGGGAGCCGTATTATTTTAGGATGGGAAACCAGTTGCATACCATTCTGAGATGTTTAGTGGACCGGTATTGAATTATCCAACTTATGACAAGGAGCTGTATGTAATGCATCAAGCAGTGAAGCATTGGAGAACTTACTTGTTGGGAAAAGAAGTTGTAGTTCACTCAGATCATAAACCTCTTCAGTTTTTAACTACACAGTCTAAGTTGCAGCAAGCTCGCCATATGAAATGGATGTCTTACCTACAACAATTCAATATTGTGATAAAGTACAATAAATGAGCAACTAATAAGTTGGCAGATATGTTATCTAGACCACCTACACCAGTTAGTTCCGCATTACTGGTGGCTATGCAAATCCAACCCATTGTTCCTTCTGAATATGCCAAAGGGTATGACACAGATATTGATTTCAACTCAGCATATGCCAAGCTACAACAAGGAAAGACTAGTGAGTTCCAATTGAAGGATGGACTAATGTACAAGGGAACACAATTGTGCATTCCAAAAGATGGCGACAGATTGCAGTGGATTCGTGAGGCTCATACTTCCAAAGTAGCAGGACATTTTAAAGTTAAGAAGACTTTATTGAATCTTCGTCGCTATGTGTATTGGCCAAAGATGCATCTCGATGTTTCACGATACATTCGAGGTTGTGTTTTATGCAACACGTCAAAGCCTTCCAATAGAAAGTTAGGACTGTATCTTCCATTGCCAGTGCCTAGCCGACCTTGGGAGAGTATCTCGATGGATTTCTTAGGTGGATTGCCTACGACCAAGTCTGGAAATGACTACTTGTTTGTGGTGGTAGATCGTTTCAGTAAGATGGTGATTCTCATTCCATGCAAGAAGACCGTTATTGGTGAAGGAGCTGCTAAGTTATTTTTCCAACATGTTTGGAAGCATTTTTGGCTTACCTACATCGATTATTTCTGATAGAGACAGTCGATTCTTAGGCCATTTCTGGAGGTCGTTATGCGGACTGATGGACACCAGATTTAAGAGAAGTACTACATTTCATCCACAAACAGATGGGCAAATGGAGGTTGTAAACCGGACTATGATACACTTATTGAGGGGTTACAATTCAAAGCATCCAAAGACTTAGGATGAAAGTCTCCCTTACTTACAATTTGGTTTTAACTGAGCAATTCATGGTTCCACACTCAAATCTCCATTTGAGGTTTGTTTGGGTTATTTACCCCAGAGTCCTTTTGATTTAGCATTCACTATGAGTGACTAACCATTAAGTGGGAAAGAAGAAAAAGAACATATTCGAGCACAAAAATTTCTCGAACGAGTCAGAAAGATTCATACTGAAGTAAAGGCACAATTGAAACGTTCTCAGCAACGGTATAAAGCTCGCCATGATAAGCATCGTGTGCCATGTAATTTCAAAGAAGGTGACCTAGTATGGTTACACCTTTGAAAGGAGCGGCTAATTGGTGAAGGCAAGAAACTGAAGCCTATTCGTTATGGACCGTTCAAGATCATCAAACAAATTGGTGATAATGCCTTTCAACTTGAATTACCACCATACATGCATATGTACTCGGTCATCAATGCCGAGAATCTGAAACTTTTTGAGCCATCTCTACTTGATGATGATCCCGAAGAAGACACTCGTCTTTCATCAGTTGATGACTTGTGGATTGAACGAGAAGATCGTTTGCATGAGGATTGTATATTGGAACAGAAGGTTCGCGAGACTCGACATGGACAGTATGAGTATTTTCGTATTGGTAGTAAAGGGCAACTTCCCAGCAAATTGAAATGGTATATTCGAGACAAGGCAAAAATAGAGTTTCCTCATCTCAATTTAGCTTGACCAGGAGCTCAAGCATCTTAAATGGGGGAGCCATGATCCAGGAGGATCTATTAACAAAAAGAAACATAGTATAATATAATTATAATTAATTATATTATATTGTTATAAACCATAAAAAAAATTAATGGTTTCAAAATGAGTATGATTTTAGGACATTCATTCTTTATGGCTTAAAATAATTTACTATTTTAGTTTAGTTAATTTTAGCAACCGAACCTTGTATAAATACGTAAGTTATTAATCGAAATGAATCAAGCAATTCTGAAAGCAGAACTTAAAGCAGTTCCTTAGCTTCTTCCTTTTGTTTATCTAATTGTCTTAAAATTCCTCTCGTTCCTTTATTCCTATAAACTAGGAATTCATAATTCTATCGACTAGAAGTTTTGGATCAGTGGGTGGTTTGAGCAATTTTATGGTAGATGACAAAAGCTTGGTCAGACTCTGGAATGGCTTGCCAAAGGAGAAAATGGGAGAAGATAGAGGAATGAGGCTTGAAATTGCAGAGGTTTAAGGGATGAGAGATAAAGCTTGCTTTCTGGATGTGGGTTGCTTGTCTTTTTTTGAGTTGTTTTGCTGGGTAGAAGGTGTCTCCCTTTTATAGATGCTGAAAGCTCATTTTTCCCAAGAAAACCTTAGTTGGTTCTCTCCAATTTGGTTAAGTCTTCTCTCTATTTCTCTCATCTTCCTTTGATTCAACCTCTTTTGTGAAACCTTCCTCTATTCAAACACACAAAGACAAGACTTTGGGAGCTCTAAGACCTTCCCGCATTTGCTTCAATGTTAAACTCCTATTTTTGGCCACTACCTTACTTTCTTTCCTCCCTTATTTCATGGTAAGAGCTGGTAGGAAAAATGAGTGGGTAATGGCGCTGGTCTAAAGGGTGTTTTGCTCAAGTATCCTTTGATTTTTTGGATGGCTTGTGTTGGGATTTGTCTTTAGCCATGTGCTGGATATTCCCAGCAGCCTGCATACATAGGCAACCTTTGGCTTTTGTCGTTAGTTTGGTCTCCAGCCATGTGCTAGAGACTTTCAGATATTTTATAGGTCATTTGGGCCATTCTAAGGTGATGAGTTAACCCATTAAGGGAATGGGCTAATTTCCTAGAGTATTATGCTATTTTTCCTAAAGTATTGGGCCATTTTCTCTTCTTTATGCTTATCCACATATTTGGGCTCAAGAAATGGGCTCGGGGCTCCCAAGAAGCCCAAAACTTCCATTTATCGGCTCATCTATGGATCTCATAAAAACTCGTAAGTTCGTAACCATCCATACCACAACCCGCTCAGCAATTACTAGGCATTCGCATAGTTTGGGCCCACTTAAGCTTGTAGCGTAGCGTGTTGCTTATTTGCTTGGCGTGACAAGTGTACAAGCGTATATGACGAACTCTTGCGTACCCAAATTGGGTTTCTTCCCAAGTTAGGTGTCATACTGGACTATAAATATATTTGGGCCCAGACTTGGATTTATGGGGCCTCAACAAAGTGATTATATTAAAATAACTTTTAAATTTTTGTTCAAAATCAATTTGCTTCGAGAAGATGTGCTTCTCCGAAAAATGCTTTTATGATCCATAAGCTCTTCTGAATTGTTATATCAAACACAGTTAGAAACCTTTTTTTTTATTTTTAAGAAATAGCTTTAGGTCATCCTAGAACTTGTAATGAGAACTTAGCAATTGAAATAATTTCAATATTCACACATCATTCCTTATAAATAAAACATGAACATTTGCTCCTTTTTCTTATAGTCACGCTTTGATATATGTACCAAAATAATTAATCAATAATTTAAAAAGAAATACTTTTATATATGTGTTAAATTACCATTGACAAGAATGTAGGGCACCATGCCAATGGGAAGACAAGAATGTAGGGTGCTATGCCAATGAGTTCCCACTACAGTGGTGGTGGATTCCCCCTTCCCCATGGCACCCAGGTTTGAAATCCCAACAATGAAAAAAAAAAATGTAGGGCTCTATTTACAGGAGAAGGAGTGAAGTCATAACTACCAAAAATAAAAGGGTAAATTACTCAAATGGTCCTCAAACTTGTACGCGATTTACATTTTAGTCTCTAAATTAAATTATTAGTCCAAATGGTACATAAACTCTATTTTAATCGCCCATTTGATCCAACCGTTACATTCTGTCAATGTTTCTGTTAAATATAAGGGCAAATTGGTCATTTCGTACGTTAAAAATAAATAAATAAATAAAAACTCTCTCTCTCTCTCTCTCTCTCCTCTCTCTCTCTCTCTCTCTCTCTCTGTGTCTCTCTCCCCATTCCCCCATGGCCACCACCCTCAAGCTCCAACCCCAAAACCCATCCCACAACCACTCTCCACCCAAACCCATCCAACAACCACCTTTCATCCCAGGCCCCATGAACCCAAAACCCAAGCTCCTTTTTACCCTTCACCCAAGCCAGCAACTACAGAAAAAGAAAAGAAAAAAAAATCTTCCACAAACCCCCTCCCAACTAACCCAGAACCCCAACTCAACAACCACTCAGACCCTCTCCCCCTCCCCCTTGATTTCCCTTTGTTGTTGAGAGACAACAACCCACCACCCTCCTCCCCACCTCATCACCTGCCAACCCCACCTCCCAAAATCACAGCTACTGTCAATTTCTCACCCTCCAAGTACAAGTACCGGTTCTTCAGCCAAGACACCGAAATTGCTGCGAGGGTTTTGGGGATTTATGTCGTCAATACCAAGGCCAACACTCCCACCATTTTTGCCATTGCCCACCTCCTCAAGAGCTTTCCTCTTCCTCTGCGTCTCTTCAGCAACCTTCAGCAACCTTTGTTAGTATTATTTTGGACATTAATTGTTGGGCTGGATGGTTGAAGGCCATTGACAAATCTTTTTTTTTTTTTTTTTTTTTTTTTTTAACACAGTAATTGGAGAGGTCTGTAGGGAATTGGGGAGAAGAAATCGAAGGGAGGGAGTTTGGGTCCCATGATTTTTTTTCTCTTTTTCTTCAATTATTTTCTAATTTTGTATTTATTTTAACCTTATTTTATTTGTTAATTATGAAAAGTCTTATTTGCCCCTAAAATTTGGTTACATTTAACAAAAAATGTAACGGTTGAATCAAATGGGCGATTAAATAGAGTTGATGTACCATTTGGACTAATAATTTCATTTAAGGACCAAAATGTAAATCGCGTATAAGTTTGAGGACCATTTGAGTAATTTATCAAAAATAAAAAATAAACATGTCCACGAAGATTAACTGAGAATCGGCTGTGCCTGAGCTCCACCATTTTAGTGTGGTGCCTTCTTCTTCAATCGCACTTTTTAGGGTTAAGGTTAGAGTTTGGCATAAACTAATCCAGGCAGAGTCTGTGAAGCTGGAGAGGCACGGAGAACACCAAGAGCCCCAGGGCATCTCGTACCCTGGGACTGGTTCTTCCTCTTCTTCATGGCCCCCCGTCGATCCCCACCATAACCATCATAACCACCACAATCACCACCGCGATTCCAACCACTACGACGACCACCACCACCATGGCAGCCACTCTAATGGCTCGTTCCATCCGGTGCCTTTTTCTGTACGCAAAAGGGCTTGGCATCCTTCTAATCAAGGACCTTCTCCAGGTATTGTATATCAATTTTTTGTACATACATTTGTATTTGCCTTAATGCTCTGTTTGGTAGGTAAGGAAATGTAGGAAAGTAATGGAATGGAAACAATGAATTGGGTTAGGCTGCCAATAGTACTCTTTTTCATATATTGCTAATGTTACTTTAATCTTTGTGACTGAAGTTAAGCTGGTGATGACTTTTCCACTTATCAAAACGAATATTAACTGCAAATTACTCTTTTTCACTATTTACATTCCGAGAAAGGTTCTTAGAATTTGTTTACACATGGAAACTGCATTGGTATCTTAATTTCAGCTGTATTTATCTTATTCCCTCCAAAGCTAGGTTTTTTAGTACCTCTCACTTTCTTTCTTTTGGGGATTTTGTTTTTCAGATAACGTTGAAAGCGCCTTCCATGTAAAACTTTATGTTGCACAGGTTTCCAGAACAGCGACTGAGGAAGTTGTGAGTAATTATTTCCCCTAATCTGTCAAAATGTCTTTGGTGTTCATTTCTTTTGATGTCTGTTTCAAATTATTTGGTGTCGTGCATTGGTCTTGTGACTGCTAATTCTATTTAATAAGGTGTTCTTGTTTTTCTATGTCAGATTCGCCCGTTGTTTGAACAATATGGAAGTATTACCGAGGTTGTTATTTTGAGGGATAAGAGGACAGGCCAACAACAAGGTACCTCAATTCGTATGGGGTGGGGTGGGTGAAGGATAGATTCTTGGTTCTGAATGCCCCTTGAATTTTAACATTTAAGCAGTAATTTTAGGTTTTCTTCTATCTTCGACGCTTTTCTCTTTCATTACGAACTTGTAAATGTTAATAAGTCTGCCGTTTGCTTGGTACCTTCATTTCTGTTTCAATAGTATTTCATATAACTATGAAAGAAAAATTAGTAAGAAAACAGATTTAGTGTTGCTCCTGCAGGCAGTTGTTTCGTGAAATATGCAACACTAGATGAAGCAGACAGGGCTATCGGAGCCTTGAATAATCAGCATTATTTTCCTGGGGTGAGTTAATTTGTTGCCTGATGGATAAATAGATATGTACTTATGTCATTCATCATGTTACTGTTATTAAGTTTGTTGTTTGTTGTAATTTATTTTTGCCAGGAAGTTCTACCAATCACAGTTAAATATGCTGACTGGGAATTGGAACGCCTTGGTAATTTTCTAATGCTTAAGGAATTTCTTGTGGAACCTTTTTTGGATTGTAAACCAGAAACTTAATATCGTACATATTTTAGGAATTTTTAGGATCTGCATCCTTATTCCTCAAGAGTTTTAAATTAAGTTCAATAAATGTTTTCTATTGGATTAGGTCCATTTACTAATTTGTATGCCCAATTTTATGAGATAACTTTATATTTTATAGAAAATGTCGTGAGTCCCCTTATAATTATCGAAGCATTATATATCATAAATATACCATTTTCCTCAAAATTTAGAATACAATGACTTTCATTTTGCATAAAATTTGTGTTTTTGAAAATTTGGTCAATGTGTATCAAACAAGTTTAGAATGGATATAGAACTACACTGAAAAAAATGAATTGATATGTATCAAACGAGATCCATAATGAATATACAACTACGTAGAAAAAATTTTTTTTGAATTAATATTCTTGTGAGACAGATGCAGTATTAACACACATCAGAGTTCATTTTTTCACATCATGATGTAATACAATTCAATGTTTTTTTTAATAATGTATCTGTTTTAGCGGTATGTTCATTCAATTTTATTAATCATGATTCCTGAATTTGTAAAAAATAAAGCTGTTGTTCTTCAGCTTGAAAGGCTGGATTCTTGTTAAGTTAGAATCCAACACCCATTTTTTTATTATAAAAAAAAAGGGATGAATATTAATTGATTTGGTTTTCAGTTATAAAAGGAATATATTAGTTACCACTGTGCTAATGAGGAAGGTATGAATTTCATGTTTGAAGTTTGGTGACCGCAAAGATGAAATATTCTTTTACTTTCTATCTTGTATGCTTATGACTTTTGTTATATTGTTTGTATTGTCTTTATCCTTGTTTTTGGTTTGCTAGCAAAATAATAGAATATCTTCTCACATGCCTTTCTGTTTTAAATAACGAGGATATAATGTGCAATAGAGTGTATTGTGTGCTTTGGAGTGTTTTTGTCTGTGAACAAAGCACTTTGAGGTGAATATGCAGGATGTACATAGGGTTTTAATGGAACTTTTTATGTGCTTCTAATAAAAGTCACTTAGTAAAAGGCTTCGTGTAAAAGCCTTCCTAGTCAGGCCCTTAATGTTCAGCATCTGATGAATTTTGTTTTTCTTGTCCTTTTGGTAGCGGGACTTGACAAGTTGTATGTGTGTGGCCTGAACAAGGAAGCTTCGAGGAAAGAAATTGAGGAAGTACGGTGAATGTTTTCTTACTATCACAACCTCAGCTAAATAATTTACTCATGTATTCAACAGTACATCCATAGAGATGTATCATGCATTTGTGCGCATCCATTTGTTTATGCATGTACATCTTTTCTTATGGATATGCACTTATGCATGCTACTTGCATGGAAAGAACAATATTCTTCTCAACCCATTTTTGTTTATATACTCCCTCAACTCTTTTCAAGATGTTCAGATTTATATGGTGCTTTCTATGTCAGATATTTTCGCCATATGGTTTTGTTGAAGATATCTACATTTTGCGTGATGAGATGAGGCAGAATCGTGGTATTTCTATTTTTCTCATTGTTGATCTCTCTATCCTTTATAACTTTGAGTTGCATGTTATAGACTGGGCAGGTTGAAGATATCTACATTGTGGGGGCTGATTATGCTTGCCTCAATATGGTATTTTCAACCTAATGATGTCCTGTGTTCTATTTGACATCACAAGAACTGGAGATATTCTGATTTGCATGCTTGCTAGTTACTTAAGAGGGTGGAAGCAGGTGGTGGATATCGTAGCCAGTGGTTTTAACTTTTATATCTGTCAGCACTTCAGTTGGGGTCTATCATAATTTCATGGTGAAATAGTATCTTTCTTTATTTTAGTCATATAATTTTCTGTAAAATCTAATGAAACTTTGTATGGAATCGCATATTGCTAAAAACCCGTTTCTGTTTCTTTGTTCTGGCTAATGCTTTTTTATATATATATATTATTTGGTTTTTTTTTTTTAAGGGTCCGGATTTGTGAAGTTTTCCCATAAAGATATGGCTCTGGAAGCAATCAAAGCATTAAATGGAACCTTCATTATGAGAGTAATGCTTTTGTATTGCTTAGTAACATGCACTGATTGTGTCATTACACTTTGAAGGCATCTAGTCTGATTCTTCTTTTCTATGTTACTTCAGGGTTGTGCTCAGCCGTTAATTGTTCGCTTTGCAGATCCTAAGAAACCGAGGGGAATAGAATCAAGGTTATGCTTTGTAACATTCTTAGATATGTGTGTGTATGCCGAGAGCTTTTAAAGAGAGATCTCTCTTTCTGAGGGAAAAAAGGAATGCATGTAAGGCCCATCTCCTAGTGCAGTATAAAGATCTTAACCATCCCTTTTATGGATTCCTATGACCCTTATAAAAGGCTTGGCCAAATCATAAACCATTTTGTCCTCTAACTTTGATTAAATTATAGACTAACTTAGTTTTTTCGACAAATTTTGAAATGTTCATGATAATAAACAAATAGCTAAGCAATTTGCTCTTTTGTTTTTTATTTTTATTTTTATAAAGATGATCCTTGAAGGGAAACCTAAAAAATGGATGGTTCGGATCATTGGACTTTGCATGGTGAACCCCAACACGGGGTTTACTTTCATGAAAATATGGGGTCCCTCTTTGGATGGGACCACACGTTTTGGAAAAAATGAAAGTGCTCAGTGGTCCAGATTTATGGTCTGGAAATGTTTACCAGTCACCCAAAAGCAACTTTTTATATCTGGTTTTAAAGTAAACAGAAACGTTGGCTGAAAGAAAGGTGTATACAAGATGTATACAGTATTAACTGATAATGTTCTTGTTTGATTTTGGGGCAGTTAAATCGTTGTGAAATTTTCTAAATTTGAATTCTCTTTCTCTAGGGGCAATTATTTATTTAGCAATGCAAACATTGTTCCCCACTCTCAAGAACCAGTTGTTAGGTACAGTTCTGTCTTTATACATCTTACATTTCATTTGTCATTCTGTTTGTTAGTCTTGACTGTTTGTCTTCTGCTTTGCTCTTTTCAGGCCAGTATCCGATCATGGTGATTCCACTGGAGGGTATAATATGCATAATGCATCGTATCCTGTTCAACAAGCTTCACACCCACCTATTTCTCAATTGGCAAACCATGAACCCCAGGCTTCTAGTGTCATACAACCACCATTTCCTCCATCAAAGTCACCTTCACAGTTGTGTAGGATGCCTTCACAACACACACAAATTACGCATTCTCGGACTTCTCAAGTAGAAGTTAATGAGACCCAGAAGCAGCATCTGACGCAACCATCAGGGCAAATTATTGGGCAGCAGCAGAGTTCTCAGGTTAGTAGGTAACAATGACAAATGATTTATCAGGCTGCCAAAGTGATGAGTGATTGAAGAGGTCAACCTTTGAAGGGATACTATCATGAGCATGTTGTCACAAATATGTCATGTAGCTACTGCTTGTGACACCCTGTATTTGTTGAATTGTTTGTGTATGGGCTCTTTAGAACCATAGGAATCATGTCCATCCTGTTAAATGATTATCATGCATGTGGGAGGGAGTAACATTGGCTATAGTAACCCTTGAAGTATTAAAAATAGGAGGCTTTTAGTCGTTTCTGGAACTTTTTCATTGGTGGATACAAAATTGCTATGAATGTATGTTAAATTGTTCTGTGGTAGTTATGTGATGCACGAGTGGTAGCGCACACAATTTTACTAACAATGATTTTGGTACTTTGTGACTCGTGCAAACTCTTTTCTGCCGTGCTGTGATATTGGTAATTGTGCAAATACATTGGTGTCTTCTTGTCTTCTATGGTCTCCACAAACTGGACGCAATCCTCAGACAGTTGCTAGCAATTCTCTCTCAGCTGCAGTTCCTTCAAATAATGAGATAGCAGCTCCCATAGAGTGTGACTGGAGTGAACATAACTGCCCTGATGGATACAAGTATTATTATAATTGTGAAACTTGTGAAAGCAGAGTATGTTTCAGTCTTTGACAATCTTCTTCATATGACATTTAGGTTTCTTAGTACCAGAAGATATTGAAATGTCCTACTCAAAATAATTGAGAACATATGATTAACGGCTGTGTTATCTGGTCTACAGTGGGACAAGCCTGAGGAGTTTGCCTTATTTGAGCAAGCATTGCAGATGCAGACACAGCAGCAAAATCCTTCTCACCATCTTAAATCTATGTCATCGGTTCTTTCTACCCAACATAGTGCTCAAACACAGCAGGTACAGATTCAGACACAGGCCTTCCATCAGACGCTACAACTTCAGAAACCTTGCTCATCTGCACCGGTTTGTTATTTTCACTTAATTTTTCATTTTTAAGATGGTTTTTCCGTTGTAATGTGAATAAGGCGTCGTCTTTTTGCTAGGGATTGGCACTGGGTACCCATTAGGTGTTAGGGATGTGGTAATTGGGGTGTTTGGGGAGCTGCCGCGGTTGGGGTGGGGTTTGTTGGGGTGTTGTGTGGTGGTGATGGTGATGGTGGGTAGTACCCATGGGTCTCTACGTGTTTGTGGAATAGTTAGGTTTACTTTCTATGTTATGTGGCTGTTTTCACATTAGGTAAGCAACATCCCTATACAAATTAGCAGCTACTGTAAGAATTGCTCAAATAGAAATTGTTTTAGCACACTATATGAGCTTCGAGTGTTAAGATTCAATTTGGGTATGTCTCTTTAGCACTACTGGAAGCTGTTATAGTGTAAATAATGTCCATGTGGACAAGGACGGATATGGTATTGTCAATAACATGCTGTGGTTTTGTAGGAACTGGATCATGTGCAAATCCAGCCAGAAACAAATCCTGTTGTTGGCCCAACCTGTGTTTGACAGGTACTGATTGTGTAATTTACAATTCACTGAGGCAATTGCCACAATGCGTCTGCTTAGAAGTGACTTTGAGCACTTCACAAAAGTTCTAGCCATTCTTTTTGCTTTCTATGCAGAATGGCCAAATTTTCCATTCTTAAAGAAAAAAATGGCATGCAACCCCGTCCCAGTCCTTGGAGGATTGAATCATCGGTCAACTGTTGGTACATTTGCAAGATCGTGACATTACTGGTTCACCCCCTGTGCCTTTTTTTTCCCTCAATTTTATTTTATTGTTGAAGTCACTGTGATTAACGCAAATTGAAGAGTTGCTAGTGCTGAGGGTGACTATTGTACACAATGAATGCAATCCAGCGCAGGGGGACCATATTGTGTGAATGCAATATTTTCCCCCCTCTCGGGTCAAGATGAAAACTTCTGCAAAGTACAGCTCTTTTGCTGAACAATAGTGGTGGAAGCTTAGAACAGGGTGTAATATGTATTAGACACAGTGTAGAAATGTTGCCATCAACGCTTAAATTATGGAGTCTTTAATCTCATGCAATTGACTTGTTGCTTGCCCGGAGATTTGTCATAAACCAGTTATTTACATAACATGAAACATATGATGTATTTGTTTCAAAATAGAATGTTGCATCTTTGGTGCTCATACTGCCGCTGGCTGAAACAACTCAACAGTAGTTGACAAAAAGCTTTCGTGCCCATATTTTGTGAAGTCTTGTTCTCTGCGGGTCTACTGATTTTCAACTGGAGTTTAAAAGTACGATTATCCAAGCCCATACGTTGGTTGGTTTCTCTATATATTTTGTGAGGTCTTGATATATACTTGTATTCATGCATGGCATACCGCAATTAGTCAAGGATAACATTGTTCACACAAGTGTTTCTCCTGCATGTGGTGAGAGTGCACGGGACAATGAGTTAGGATTAAGATGGGTCAATGTTAGATTGACAAACCGATAAAAAGACTTTTGGTTCCCATGGCCATGGATATGTACTAAGTGCGCAAAAGTTGTGGACAAAATGGCCGCGGAACATGTGAGAGTGCAGATGACTCAATACATGGGTAGATATTATTCCATTATTAAGACAAAAGAATCACACAGGCCGATTATCCTAAATGTGAAGGCGGTGCTTAGTTTATATGGCAGAATCCATATCCCATTCCCATCTATTTATTCAAATTCAATGCATCAAAAATGGAGGGTGAGATTTGATGTGGCATAAAAACAAGAAAGCAAGGCATTTATTGTCCAAGAGGCTCAAAGTGGGGCGGTAGAGATTTTGATCTTTGAGTTGCCTTTTCTTGTAGCATACGCATGCATAGTTTTGGGACAGCGCATTAGATGTTGTCACCAAATCTTCCCAATTGCAGCCCCTTTTTCTAGAATCAATGGGTTTTATGTGAATTCCAAGGGGAGAAGGAAAAAGGGAAAAATATTAAAAATTTAAATAATAAATATAAATAAACAAATAAGCAAAGAGGGCTCCTTCATTAATTGTGGGTCTGGACTGGAGGGACTACGCAGAAAACCCTAACCCTCAAAACCATGACTGCGCAGCAGCACTAGTACTGTTACTCTCCAAATGAAATCAATGCACATTCCTTCCACAGCAAAAACAAAGATATAGGACAAACAAGGGGTCAGAATAATTAAGCAAACCCATTTTCCATATACCACAATATCTTTACATACCCAACCCCACATTTCCCCCCTCTTTCAGAGGCTCGCTCTTCCACACACCCCACAACCCAAACAAAAAAAAAAGAAAGAAAAAAGAAAAAAAAAAAAAAAAAAAAAAAAAAAAAAAAAAACTAACTACTACCAAGTACCTGCATTGGATTAAAATATCCATGTTCCATGGTTACAGTGATAATCACCATCAGGATTAGCAAGAGCACCTGATCTCAAAACAAGTCAGTAACCTAAATTAGTACATAATTAAGTAGCATTGCATTAACTAATGGGATCTCATCTCATGATCAGGTACGGCCATGGTTATCTATAAACATATATATATATTTATATAAATATATCTACTCTTGCTTCAGCATATGGGAGGGGACTATGTCTTGAAGAAGCCCATGGTCTGTCAACATAGCAGAACCAGTTGCTGGGGTGCAAAACCGCCTTTCGTGATGAAAGCCGGTGCCGCTAGCATTTGCTGTTGGTGAGCCACCATTAACATAGTTGCAGAAATTGAAAGGTTGCAGTTGCTGTTGATAGTGATGAGATAATAGGGTTCTGGGCATTGAAGGCATGGCAAAGGTGGTAGAGATATTGGGTTGAGCAGAAGCCGAAGCCGTGAGAGTTGGGCGAGGTATGAGTGGGCTTGGGTGTGTGTGTTGGCCTTCATAAGTTGTCACAACGATGCTTGGGTCATTGAAAGATCGCTCCACTCGCTTCTTCACATTACATGCTGTACTTGTGCATCGATAGTAACTCCTACAATAAACCAAAATCATGAAATACATACATAAGATCAAAGATAAAAAAAGATAATAATAAGGAAGATTATGATTTCTGATTCAAAACCCATAACTAATTTAATTCTGGGCTTTGATTAATTTGAACTGAGGATCATTATTATTAACAAGCAGTTAGCAATGCCATGATAATAAATAAGTGTTAATTTGGCACTGAAGTTTAGAGTGAGTACCTGGGGAAGGGGCTGTTTTTCACAGCTTTTTGACCGTACTTTCTCCATCTGTAGCCATCTTCCAGATGATCAACCTCACTCTTGGTCATGAATGCAAATCTGGGTTCTCTCTGTCTCTTCTGACTTGCCTTCTTCGCTTTCAACCTTTGCTCATCCACATAATGAACACAAAGAAAAAACAACCTTTCATCAATACATCATCAGGCTTTTTATTATATAATGAAAGTTGAGTTCACTTTAACCCAAAGTCCCAATTTTCAATTTCAGGTCGCTGTACTATAAATCCGAAAATGATAAAAACCCCATCTTTATCTTGATCTGTTAGGAAATGGATCTCTCTCAAAAACAAAACTTAAAGCAAAGCAGGAATGAAAAACTCACTCTTTCTTGGTCTTTGGTTGGTCATGTTCTTCTTCTTCATCTTGGTCTGCAGCACCTTTATTATCAGTCTGTTCCTCGTTCAGAGCCTCACTGGATGCAGATGAAATCGATGAAGAGTTCGGTGTTGCAGGCTGCTGATTCAAAGAGTTGTCAGAGCACTCCTTTGCCATTATGGAAGTATTTGGAAAGTTTGGAGCTAATGAAGGCAACATAGATGGTGTCTGAGGCAAATAATCAAACAAGGAGTTAGTACAAAAGTCCTGGCCAGCACCCAAAAGCTCCATAAACCCTAAAGATGAGCTCTTTTCTCCTTCACAGAAATCAAATATGCCTGAAAATGGTGATGAGGAAAACCCACATCCAATATTGGTACTATTGTCCTCCATCTTTACCACATCCTTCTTCACATCCATTGCTCACTCTCAACACAGAAAGAGCTACTCTTCATCAAGGGCTAGAAAGAGAAAGTGGGTTTTGTTTGTCTTAGTGAGAGAGAGAGTAGGGTAGGGTTGATCTGGTTTATAAGATTTGGGAGAGAGAAGAAAAAGAGAGAGCGTTTTGGGGTTGGAGAAAAAAGTAAAGAGTTTTTTTGGGGGTTAGGGATTGAGAGTGAGAGGGTAGGCTGGGGTTGGCTTTGGCTTGGCCTCAAATATTGACCGGCAATTGTAGGTCAAGGGTTGTGTACGGAGTAGGCAGAGTGGCAGTGGCGAAAAATTGAATGCATGGTTCCGACAAAATGGTCGACGCTTTCATACAGTGACCTTTGACCGGTTAACCCCTTTTTTATTTATTTAATATTTTTAAAAATTCGTAATGTGAACGGGGTTTCGTTACACGTGACCTTCTTACGGCTACACAATACAACTTTGAACCTCACTCGTGTGTAATCTTGTGCATGCATGTGAACTCAACCAAGCGATAACTTTGCTTTTCATATTTAATTCATGCATTTTCCCTTTTATTTTTTTAAGTACAAATGATAGTCTAAACTGCAAGAGAGGCAAGAGAGGGAGTTTCTCCCACACACAGCACGGACAACTAAGATGTCATGGGGTTCGAACCTGAGACCTCCGATAAGCAAATCAAAAACCTTTTTTTCACTAGACTAAACCCCGTTGATTTCATGTTTACACTTTAATTCGTTGTTGGTAACTCAATGACTCATGGTCAAAGAAGACCATATATTATTTATAAAAATGAAGGAGAAATAATGAATGAGAATGTAGTGGCGTTTTATAATTGGTGCTGCAGGTGAAGTACAAGTATATATAAGTGATGAGGGAGGATATATATATATATATATATATATGTTAAATCCCGTCATAGAATTAATTAATTAATAAATTAACTAGAATTAAATCGATCGACTTGATTGAATACAAATGACTTTATTTGGAGATAAGAGATAGTTTCACACTTGATGACAGCAAAAAGGGTTTTTATAGAAGGCTAGACGACCTCTTTGACTGATTCACAAATGTTAAAATTGGGAAATATTTATATTTAAGACCCACCAGAATAATTAAGGAAGTTGCCATATTCTCGAAACAATTCTTAGATATTCCCTATCGCATAAAAAATCAGTGAACAGGACAAACTTTAGGTGCAGTTCATGGGGAGAATTCTTTAATCATGTGTTTAAAATTCAATTATGATAAGAGTATCAACTTTAATTTTATTTTTAAGGTGTGAAATCATATGTTATCTTTCTCCATAGTCGGTGGTTAATGCCTTTTTATCTTGCACCGAATGCACATAAAATCCCTACAGAAAAATAAAATAAATATAAAAAACAAAAGGCCAAACACACGATCGACTTCTTTTCTCTTTTGGTGAAATTGTAGGCCAAAGTTGCACCCCCACGTGCGGCTTACCACGCACACACACACACACAATACACACAAAGATAAAACATGCTGACATAATTTCCGTGTAACTTTGCATGCCTATAATTATTGTGTTTCCAACTTTTCTCGGTAAAACAATTAATCACCCGTTCATTTCTGAGGTGTTTTTTATTTTTGGTTTTTTTTTTTTTTTTATGTTGGCTGTTGATGGATCCCAATACTATCATTTCGTACTGATATACACTCAACCATGCTGAGGTCAGTCAGTGCATGGTTATTGCAAGATACCATCATTGCAATTTTGCGATGCCACACAAGACAAGCCATATACTTCTATTTTGATGCCTCTTTTTTACTTTCCCGTACATATGTCTATCCTATTAGTTACACAAATTCGAAATCTCTAATTATGTTGTTATGCAATAGTCAGATCTAGTAACATGAGACACTAATTATGTTACTAGATTTGAATGTATGATTTAAGTTCATAGTCTAACAATATATAATAATATATATGACATGTAAACATAGTAGACGCATCATGCAATACTACTTAACCCTATACTTTTATCTATTAATGGAGAGGGGGGTTCGAACTTGGAATCGTTTCCAACACTGAGAAGAGAGGTACCACTAACCTAAAAGTTAGATGACATACTTAACCTTATATTAATGGGGAGAAGGTTTAATGCAGGGAAGAATTAGAAATTTTCAAAGTAGTGAGCTATAAATTGATTTGTTCATTTGTTATGCGTGGGTGGCTCACTGTCGTTTTCTTGGAAGCTGCTTGAGTGGAGTGGGCCAATTTTGCCTAGGATGAGATGGGCTAATTAATTTCCACTGGACTAGGGTCCACCCTAATCTAAAGGCAATTCCGTCCTTGGATTTAACTATTATCATGAGTCTAAACCAATTTCACAACCATTTCGAAAGATACGTTTCTCTAAATATATCACAAATATTTTGGAAATATTGGTGCAAGATCATATTAAGATCTTAAAAATTGGTCTTGACTGTTGATCCTTTGTCTAGTTGTTTGTTTAACTTGAACTTGTGTGAGGATTAGTACTGAATACATAGCAGTGGAATTAGGTTAAATAATCCTTGTCATTAGTCATGATTGCATAAATGGAAGAACCTACAAAGCTACTTACTTTTGCCCTTTGTTTTGTTTGACTGAAAGTTGAGAACGTGCGTTTTTAGTACTTGCGTTTAGCTTTTTTACACCGATCCTCCGCTGAGGATGTTTTGGCGACACATCCTCGGGTCCTACCCAAACAAAGGAGAGTGACGTCTACATGAGCCATCCACACCTCACACATTTCCAGCACCAATTGATCCGAAAAGTATGAAGAGAAAGAGAAATATGAGGCAAAAGTAATTAGCTCCGCTGTTTTCTTTGCCTGATACGATAGCTGTAACTTTCTCGGAGATAAAATCTTCACGCGGTTTTGGAATATTTTGGGTTTCTTATGCAACACGCTTTCGAGATCCTGCGTTCTGAGTATTTTGTGTCTTCTTTAGCGGAAGATGTTTTTTTTATACTTAATTTATTTACTTTTTTATTCATGAATGTTTTTATTTTAGTTAGATAATGGTAGTGGACTGGTAGTATGCGACTGTTTGACTAGCATTGCTTTTGCTTTTGCTTTTTGGGTACGTATAGGAGCTTTCAAAAACAGCCAAAACAACTACGAATTGAATAATAAGTCTCTGTTTTGTTGTGTTGTGAAAAGTCTCCTCCTTCCGTTACAAGCCCAAGTTCCAGACTCAGACCCCAAGATTTGACCATGGTCACTAGTCCATGCCCCCTACTACTATAGTCTATATCCCATCTCTCCAACTTTTCTTATCGGTGAAATCCTCTTCATCCGATTACGGAGTAGTAAAAATGCTTTTAAATAATTTTAGAAATTATTTTTAAGTATTTTTGTTTACGAAATACTTGGATTTTAAATGAAAATTTCAACGTGCGTCTATCTGATAAACAGTTTTCTTTAATAACAAAGAATAATTAAAAAAAGAATTCTCTGCGAATATTTTATCTAAATATGTTAAATTGTGGTCTAAAAAGAACCATACGAAGGAAAATTACGAAACCAAATACAAGAGCGATGATAATTCATAAGGAGAGAAGATGTGACAATATGGAAGTAAACGCACTACCACTACAAGCAAGCATTGAGACCCTACCACCCTACCAAAGATAATATCTCAAGTTGGATAGCATTTGGTCCAAAATGAACCACCAATTAAGCTCAACGCCGGTTGACAGGGACTGTAATAAATAAGTTTGGCATAGTGTCTCCCATCTCTATCACAACCACAGAAAAAAGCTTGTAATAAGAATATTTCCTCTCTCTCTCTCTCTCTCTCTCTCTCTCTCTCTCTCTCTCATAATTCTCTCTTTTTCCATGTCCTTTGTTATTTCTATTATAAATCATGACTAGTTAACTGCCTCCATTATTGCCGGGTCATAAGCTAAGATTTCTTGTTAAGTGTTGCTCATGTTTTGTAATTGGTTACAAAATTTCTTACTCCCACCAAACCGTTGCTTTATTTAAACAAAAAGATCAATCACCCACTTGAAGCCTCACATTTATCCTCTTCATGTGACTAACAATTCAATTAATTATTACAAAACCTGTAAATAATTATAAATAATGCAACCCAACACCCATAATTAAATATCTATAATCTTTCAAAGGTAGCAGATGTTCTAGAAGTTTGACATAATTGATTGGGGTCATATGACTCGTGAAATGGGTTACTTTTGGTTGGTAGTCTTTTTGTGAGTCATCAGTCTTAACCTCATCTGCATTCTCAGATGAAAAAGTTGAGGCTGAGAGATGCACATGGAACTTGGAAGGGAGGAAGTCAAAGCATAACCATTCGGCTAGGGTTGAATATATATATTTTGCAACCGCTCAAGGCTCGGGGTCAGATGGCTAGAAAGAGACAATTTTATTTTATTATTAGCTCCAAAATTTTATGTTTCTTGTCCAGAAAATAAATCAAACCAGTGGAGAGTTTTACACACTTCTCCTTCACCTATTTGTCCCCTATAAGATAAGTGCATATTTGTAGCTAGTGCCTAGTGGATGGTGGATAGGAAATATACACAAGCAATATTTCGAGTCACAGCAGTCCAAACATAGAGCATATCTTCAGTTTATGGTGTTTGTTGAAGCCCTACATTTGAGAATATTTGTCAAGGTAGCACTCAGATGAATAATTTGAGATGAAGAAAGTCAGCAATTGAAGCTAGTTAAAGCATCAGTAGGTTTAAAGAGACCGTCGTTGTTTACGGTAACAGGCATCGGCTTTTTTCCCGATGTCTTTTCTACCCTAAAAAGGGTAGGAGGGTAGGAGAGAAATCCATGAAAATTGAGGTAATATTAATGGCAAACTTTCATTTTAAATTCCAACCACAGTTGATTTGATAGTAGCATGCAATATAGGACATTCATTGTCCATGTAAAGCCAGTAGTACATATTTTACACGAAGAAGATGAAAAAGGCAAAAAGGTAAAATTCCATTCCATCAACCCCTAGCCGAATGGTGAACAATATTATAGGCCCAAAAGTTCAAAGCTGATTCACATGCATAATGCATAATGCATAATGCATAATGCATATGCATGCAGCCAGCCAGCCAGCCAGCCGTGACATGTTTCGTGTCTTTGTTCTTGGTTGCTGCTGCCGACACATCTTTTTTCGTACATGCTGAATTGGAAAATCCAGGAACCAAATACTCAACCCAATTGTCGGCCCATTTCTCAACTTTGTTCAAATTTGTTTCACACAATAAATAATTAAACACGTGTTCCATTTCATCATCATGGATTTTCATTGAACTTGCACCAACCCACCCCCCACGTTATTGTTCAGTCCATTTCATATTGCAAAAGCAATAATAGAGGCTTTCTTCTTCGATTAGTTCTTTAATTTTCAAGAGTACTCAAAACGCAGTAGCATATGGGAGCCATGTGCAAATCATACTATAAGCGGGACATATAATTGTTTTTTTTTTTCTTTAAAAAAAGAAAAGAAAAAAAAAACTTCGTCTTTATTTCAAACTTGCAATAGTGAGAATGAAAATGAGAAGAGGAAAGAGAGAGAGGTGAATATGTATATGGGTAGAGTTTTGAACTTGTAACACTGTTCCGCGTGTGAAAGGCCGATTAAACCAATCAGTATTATAGAATAAACCCTAGACTTACACGTTTAAAATCACCCATTGATGATTAAACCAATACTAATAAGCTTATAGTTATTGCAAATAAATTAGTTATTCCACGTGGGCCTAGCTAACCCAACTCTTTCGGCTCAGCTTTAGTTCTTATGTGTAACGAGATCAGCCCAAGCTGTAAATGCCCGGATGAAAAGCCTTTTAACTAGTCCTATCATAACTGGCCCTAAGGCTTCGGTAAAGTTCGAATTCGAATGCTGCTCTGTCAATGTTAGCAAGGATAGGAACTTCTATTGTGGTCTAGAGTTTCGTGCATCCGATTCTATTTCACTACTATAGAATTGGGGCCTGATATGTTAATATTTATATACATTTCTAATAATATTCCGATTCAGCTTGATTGACCAGTTCAACCATTATTTTTTCCCAACCCTAAGTTGTATACTCAAATCCAATTCAATCTGATATAAAGTTAGGATATGCAGTCAAGTCTTTTCAAATTGACATTGGGGTCGGTAATTGTCTTAACTTGACACTAAAGAAAAGAGTTTTATTATTGCTCATTGGATTTATTGTCCTTTTGAATTTGGAGCTTATGATTGTGTTGTAGATTGTCTTAGTTGTACTGTTAGAATTAATTTAACGAATGCTATTTCGATGGAAAAAATTGTCACTCTAGATACCTAATTTATATTTGCACGTTTGGACTCCCATGACCAGATGTTCTAAGATATAAAAATCAAAACCACGTTACAATTTGGGATCAAAACTGGCCTCATCATCATCACCATAGAGTCCCATTTTTTTTTTTTTTTTTTTTTTTTTTTTTATGCACCATAATTCAGCAATTATAAGTTGGTCGCCAAAAAAAGCACATTGGAATTGCGTGCCAACCGTTAATTTCCCAGAAAATACATGTTATTCACAAATAAACTAAAGAGTAAATATTCACTAAACCACTTATCATCAACTTGCTTTTTCCACACAATAAAATGACCAAGCTCTTTACAAACTGTAGACAGCCTGAGAGCATGCATGTACTCTGGACTTCCCAAACCCAAACAGGTTTCTATGACTAAATCACAAGAAGAAAAACAGGAAGAATAATAAAAAGAAAAAGAAAAAAAAGAACTTTTAAAGAATTGAAAAAAAAATAAAGAATACTATTCTTTACAGAAATGAATGAGTCACTCATCATGATGAGAACCAGGTGCCAATGCCTGAAGCATAATTTGCATGAGCCTGACTCTACTTTGCAAGGACAGGATGTAATCAGCTGTCTCTCTGAAGAGTCCATCCAACCCCATCGACGAATCGGTGTTTGGGATCAGTCTCTTCAAGGTTTTCACCCTGCTTCGGATCCCATTGCTGCGTATTCTTGCACTTAGTTGGAGGCGTCTCCCTGTCCCCCTCTTCTTTAATATCCTTCTTCTTTTGGGTGTTCTTGTGATCATATTAACTTTGTTCCACTTTGTGTAGGACTTTCCCTCATTTTTTAGGACCATGCCCTTCAAATCAAGGGAAACAAGGAGAGGATGCTGAGAACCCATGATTCAGGAGCTAAACACCGTAGCTTGCTTTCCTTGAGAAATCCTTATGATTCAAGCCAAAACACTATAGCTGCTATAGCAGAAATGGCATAATTAAGGGTTTTTATAGGGTGTTAGCTGGTAACTGAGTTGGCGGCCATTAAGGATAATACAGATTAGTTAATTATGTGTATTAATTAATTAATTAAGGCAAAAGTAGGGGCCACAAGACAATTTCATAGAAGGCCTCCTCCAAGGGAATGGGGATAAATGAATGGGATGATGCCAAGTGTACATATATTATTATTGGTGTTGTTAATGCTTGTTGCTTTGGGCATGTTCTCCAACTTATGCACATGCAACCACATGATTCTTCTTAAGAGGTCCTTCTTAAACCACCACCACCACCACCACCTTTCATCACGCCTATCCCACGAAAAACACCCTGGATTATTCTTCCTTCCTACTTTCCAAATTCAATGCTTACTTAGATAATGCAAATTGGGGGTCCTTAATCTCCTCATCATTCCAGCTCAATCAACATGGCCTAAAACTTTTCTAGGGTTTTTCATGGTGGTTAGGCCTTGTTTCCAGGCAGGAAACCTAGAATAAATAAAACTAAAGGGAATTGGAGTGCCTGCACATAACATGTTAGAATTGGTGGACAAATTAGATCTTAATGTTGGGATAAGGTAGATTTGGTTCTGACATTCATGAACCCCATTTTGCATCAAACTGATGATTGATGTCTCAAACTTGTTAGAAAAAACAATTCCTAAGCCATGTTTGTAACATGTCTCTGTATCATGGTACCCCCCTCCAAACTTAAAACTCGGACAATCTCTCACAGACAAAGATGCATGCATCTTCTGTCTGTCACTTACACTTTCGGTGGAGATATATACCAGGCTTGATTTATATATATATATATATATATATATATATATATATATATAGCAATGCATGCATGCAGTATTAGTTCACTGGGAGTTGGATTGGAGATTACCCTAAATAAATAAAACCAAAACCTTCAAAGTATTTCGAGAATTTGAATCATTGGTTCCATTAATTTTTTCCCCTCCAAACCAATTATCCCCACCATTGATCTACAAGCAAAGCTTAAGCAGGAGCCAGAGAACATGATGCACATGCAAATGCGGTTGCAGATCCAGCATACTGATATAGTTACCTGGCCAGCACTATCCAAGTCCATAGATCGAATGGTTCTGAATATGCAACGTGGCAAGATTTAGAGCACGAGGTCTTGTGCACCTTCACCATCTGTGGCCGGGGCTAGCAAGCTACTTAATTATAATTATAATTATGGTTATGCTAATTATATATATTGAACAATTGGATAGGAATGTAGAGTGTTCTGGATCTTCTTGTCATCCCTTGGTTGGTGATTACATATAAATTGGCAATTAAACTCGGTTTACAAAACAAACAAAGTTTGTGACGGCTATGCACATGGATTATCCTAACCCAAATTAATAGACTATATAGTATTAGTCACACAATGCATTATTATTGATTATCATTCTTAATTTTTCAAGGCCATATAATATCAAACAAATACATAGTAGTTAAATTTCTAATCAAAAGTCTTTATTTATTAAAATTATAAGAGAGTTGCGATAAAGCTGCCCACCATAAATTTTGGTTTTCTTTTTATAATTCGTCGAAAATTGATTGACCATAAAACAAAAACAGAAAATGAACTGTGCATGATATTTTTTGCAAAACTAAGCACTTATAGCTTGTTGACATGTCTCCGTCCTGCCAAATTATAACCTTTTCTTCTTCTTGTTCTTAATTTTCTTTTTTCCTTTAGATAAATTCGTAATAATGAGTAGTTGTTGGCTATGTGTCCCATAGAGACAAGTCTCTTATCATAAGATAATAACCCACGCAACAAACTGTTGCCCTTGTAACCAAGGAGTGAGCAATCAATGTTCTCCGTGAGCTTAGGAAGAGCAATTATGCTGCTATATGCAATGCTTATTATAGGCCTGATTTCTTCATCGCAATTTCATGTTAAGTACTATATGTTGGAGTCAACCTGAATAATCTCACGGCCACGATTGCAGCTAGGTCTAGAAAAGTGGGCCCTATTAGTGCCATGTTAGCTTTCTTAACGAGTTTTTTTGTTGTTGACAAATTTGACAGTGGGGGACAAAGTGAGATGCAAAACATTGGTCAAGAGGGCAACAAGAATCGCTTTAACTTCTCAGGCAATATGAGATTTGAGCATAAACTTCACATGGTAGTTTGAATTAAAACTTGCATTTAGGGCTTTGTTCATGTAAAAGTTCATCGCACATAATGAGATGATCAATGGGCATTGGCTTTTCTAGGATAATTTAATAGTACAAGAAGATTGGACTTGTGGTAAAAAGGCAGACATAAAAGTTGAAGCAAATTAAACCTGTTTTCAACAACATCAACAAAATTAATAACGAAACAAAAGACAAATAAAAATAAAAATAAAAATATGAGACCTACCAAGCGTAGCTATTACAGTAGAATCTTCACTTTATTCTATATTTTTAGTGAAGAGTACCAAAAACTACGGATATTATTGCTATAATCTTCTAAAGGCTCCTTTTTTTCAAATGCCAAATCATACTCCTTCTGATTATAATGATGTCGGCAATAAGTTCCATTAGTTTCAAAGGCCTTCACAAGCTTGAAGAATAACAACTTCATCGCCGGATCCTGAACATCGGCATAAGCTTTGTAGTCGAGTAGAATCTGATGAGATCTTACTCGAAAATACCCCAAAACTAAAGCTTGAAAATGGATAGGTGGGCACTCCAACATATGAAGCATGGCTTCCCAAGTTTGCACAAAAACCATTTTGCTTAATTTCGAAGAATTCTCTTTGTCATGATCAATACCATCCAAGAGAATCAATTCCCGAATTGAAACAAGTGTGTCCCATATGTTTGACTGTTGTAGATTGGCGTCAAGCAAAACTTTGCCGTTTTTGGGCAAGTTAGGGTTTAGATCAAGGCCGTAAGAGCGGAAAAAGAGTTGGGGAGGCTCTGTCGGATAATTGCTTGGAAAGAATATGTCTAAGAAGAACAAGCCTTGGTGATAGGGAGGACCTTCTCGACAAGTTATCATCTCATCATCTTCTCGATCATCATCAACTATCATGACACCTTTTCGACCAATTATCTTGGTCTTGTCACGTTTTGGAAGACGTATGAAGTCACCTCCACCAACTATCACAGCTCTCATAAGATCAATCCTTGAAGTATAACCCCTAACCAAAATTGAACTTGGGGGAAGTTGTCTTATTGATTCCCATTCTCCTTGAATCCTTTCGGCTAGCGATGCCTGTATATTATATGGCTTGTTGATGAAGTGATGATTAAAAGGAGGGTTAGGAAGCTCATCAAAGTTCTTCAACTCTTTGAGCCTCCTCTCAACCCCATCTACTTCTTCTTCAACTTCCCCATGAATCTCTGATGTTGCAGTCTCATCCACTTCCTTCTTGATCGATGGTTTGTACGACGACCTATAATAAATACCAACCTCGTCTTCAAATTCCATTGATTTGATATCGATATATTGCTTCTTCTCTTTAGTAAGCTTTCTTGACGTACGCCAGCTTTAAAATCTCTCTTGCACTGAATTTACATATATATGGTGATCATGTTCTGTTGACGAGTCCATATTTAGTTAGGATTATAATTCCTTACTTAGTTAGGATTTTGGTTACTTACCCATTTATTTAGTCATATTGTAATTGAGATTAATTTCATATTGTAATTTAGATTTATTTTCTATTTTAATTAACGTTGTACTTCTTTATAAATACCTCTATATTGAAGAAAAATAAAGATATGAACATAATTGAATATTTGCCTTGCTTAATTTAACATGTTCATCCTTGAAGGACTCTTTGCTAGGTTACCTCTTTCTCCAAATTGTATTTTATGTAATCGATATCTCCAAGTTAGAATAGGATACTACCGTGATGAGGATACTTCTAAGGAAAGTAAAGTGTTCTCCAAGTTATTAAAACTGTCCCGGACTCTTTAATTGAGGCCTAGCTAGTTGCGTTGGGATTATTTCAAAAACAGTACGAGTCTTGAGAGAAACAAATCCTAATCCATGTTTTATCATCCTTCAAAGATTGCTAAGAAGCTTCCAAATGGGGTGAAGGCCCAAACCCTAATCCATGGCACAAGTCAAAGTCAAAGTCCATGTGAAAGTGGCCCAAGTCTGCCAAATCCTCTAACAAAGAAGATGAAATCTAGCAAATGCATGGTAAATAGCAGAGCATGTATGATGATGTATCATTAACATGCAACACCATACATTAGTAGGCCAAAAAAACAAACTCCACCAAAAAATCAAGTGTCACAAGATCTAAGGCCAACCAAATGTGAGGGTCAAAGAAAACGATCTTCTTGTTCGAATTTTAAGGTCATCAATTAGTCGTTCGTTAGTTAGTTAGTTAGTTAGTTAGGACTCAGGAGGAAACGTGGTCTAAAATATTTTACGTTAAGGGGAAGCTTAGCCTGGTATTGGGCCGACCAAAAGATTGATATGGATAATTCTTTTCTATTCAGGAATGTTGGAACGCGTCTTCACAAGCAAATCGAATGAGTCATCACTTGCTGCTATTGACTTTAGGGTTGCCCCTTGACTTTAATTTGTTTCACATTCTGATTGGTTTCTTGACTTGGATTAACCTCACCTTTTCTGTTTGTTTCCTGGGAAAATCGAGAAATTTCTGGTTGGGATGTTTCTAGCGTGTACTTTGGATTTGTATAGACCCACTTTTTGAGTCATAATCGTATATAGAAAGGCAAATTATGCATTGCAAAATATCTACCGACAATTTATCCTAAAAAAAAAGAAAAAGAAAAGCATCAGCCGACACTTTCAAAACCTAAAAGAATTTAGCCACTTGGCATTCCGCTAACTGTCAAGAAATCGAGAAATTATAGAATAAGATTGGGAGTTTTCGGCACTTTGAAAATATCTTTATGCATTGATCCCTCTTATAAAAGCATAAAGAAGAAGTTATACTTTGATGACTTCTTCAGAGTAGTTGGATTTACTATTGACTAGGATATCTAAACCATCTCTACCATCATCTTCAATGACACAGCTTCTAGCTAGCTATCTCTACCATCTGTCCTTCATACTTTGCCATAAGAACACGTCAAATGAAAATAGGTGTTACCATCAAACAAAAGTGGAATAGTGTTTGGTTGTTAAGCCTAAACTAGTATACCTAGTACATTACCAATTGAAAATCAAATGCGTAGAGGAACTCACAGACCCAAGCTTTTAGTTTTAGTTGCCAGTGGGGTACAACTTGTTGAAGAATACACGAGTCCCACATCAGAAACTTAACAAAATAGAAAGTCTCATATAATAAATGGTTCCACTACTAATAACATCGAGACCTTTTGTATAAAGGGTAATTTTATTGGCACCCCCAAAATTTGCTTTTTGCACCCCATATTCTCCTTACACCCCACTAAATTTAGTAAATTTTAAAATTTCTCACTACACCTCATTTTTTTTTTTCCTAGATTGCTCTCATGAACCCCATTCCTTAACTTACTTGTGTAAACCCCATTGAAATCGTTACCTTGTTCAGTGGTAGTCCACCGAATTTGTTTTCGTTTTTCAATGGCTATCCACCGAATGTGTTTATGTTTTCAGTAGTAGTCCACTGAATCTATTTCAGTTTTTTAGTGCTAGTCCACTGAATATGTTTCCGTTTTTCAGTGGTAGTCTACTGAATTCGTTTTTTGTTTTAGTGATCATCTACCGAATTCGTTATTGAGTTTGTACTTAATATTGTTTTTGATTACGAATGTGAGCACCTTAGGTGCATGTCGAAGACATTTACCCTTTGTTAGTGAAATTGGTGGGCTAAGCCAAATAATGGTATATTCGAATGGTTATATTAAATTTGTGGTTGACAATAAGTTACTGAAAAAATAAATATATTTCGGTTCGTTGCCACTGAATTGTGGGCAAAAATTCAGTAATACACCACCGGACACCGTTCCATATTATGGTAGATCTCCCACTGCATCTGAAGTTAACGGTTGGTCAAACACCACCGAAATAGGTGCAATGTTTCGATGGCATCCCACCGAATTACCTATCGCGTTCGGTACTGGTGTGCTGAACGCAACTAGCGAACCATCATGAAATCCTAAGCTTGAAAAATGCCAAAAAATAAACTTATACCTCATTCGAAGCCTCTTTAACTTCAATCTCACCCTTCATGAATAATACAATATATTTTTTTTCACCAATATAAGCGTATAAACTTCATTAGGGTTGTAGAAACATGATGGTTTGAGAAAAAAGTCTAACTAGGGTTGCAGGAATATATTTGGGTTGTAGTGAGCAAATTTAATTTTTATTATAAATACTTTTTGTCCTTAACGGTAATTATTTACAAAGGTTAAATAAATTATTCATGTTTAAAATTAGTATGGGGTGCAAATAGCAAATAATGGGGTGCCAATAAAATCTCCCTTGTATAAAACCCCACACCTGCTAAACAGATGGTTAAGTTGGGGACAATATCGATGTTGCTAGTGGTGGGCCAAAGGTCCGTCCCTCTGAAATCTTAACATGGTGTCAAAGCGGGTCGGTTGACTGGGCATGATTAAACCCAAATCAAACAAAAACCCCAAATTGAATCAAAATCAAACAAACCCTAAATTAAAAATTATTATAAAAAAAAAGTGACTGATGTGGAATTGATTGCACTTATGGTCCACTAAAAAGTGGTCCCACGTGAAGAGGAGTGTTGAAGAATACACAAGTCCCACATCGGAAACTTAACAAAATAGAAAGTCTTATATAATAAATGATTTCATTCCTAATAACACTGAGACCTTTTGTATAAAACCCCACACCTGCTAAACAGGTGGTTAAGTTGGGGATAATATTGATGTTGCTAGTGGTGGGCCAAGGGTCCGTCCCTTTAAAATCTTAACACAACTCAGTTGGTTGAGCTCTTCTGCCTCTACTTATGTGGGCAGAGGTTCAAAACCCCCAAATACCCAATGATCCCTCCCCCAATTGCTTGCACTAAAAAAGCTTTAAGTTTTAGTTGCTTGCTAATTCTTGTATAAATAAGTTATTCCTTTTCATATGAAGAGGGGAAGGCTCTAACCATTGATTTTAGGTGAAAGAGATGAAGACTTTTAAAAACTTGAGCGGTAATCCCTTTGCGAAGATATTCAAATCTTTCCACAAACGTTTCACCAAGTTCATAGAAATTGGGTATATTTTCATCAGTTATGTTACTTTGGTAATGTTTTTATTTATTTATTAAAAGGGATAGTAATTTTATTGATAACACATAAAAAAGTACATAGTAGCTGCAATGCCAAATATGAGTACAACATCTCTAGTGACCAAACACAAAAAATAGATATGGGCAACAAAATCATGACATCTATGGTGGATTGCAGTACTTTCTTCAAAAACACAACGAAAACCAAAGAAAAAAGTTGGGTCAACAACACCACACCACAGCCATCCCAGCGGCAGCAAGACACATCCAAGAACAACAAAAGTCACCAAGGACCTACAACAGAAAACACACAAACAAACAAACAAAAGACAAGATCCAGATAGATCTGGCAAGAGGACCTAAAATCCAAACGAATCTGGGGAAAGAAGAGGAGAGGGGAAGAAAACTAGGAAAAGAGAAAGGGAGATGAGAAGAGAAAGATGGAAGATGGGGAAGCCACCCACCCCAAAAGGGGGGTGGCGGCTGCAGTGCAAGCTCACAGTTTCACCTTCAGAGAGAGTTTTTACTTCGGTAATGTTAAGTGGCCCCTTTGAACACAGTTTCTCCTTTGTGCCCCCTTAGGCAAGTTGCCTCCCTCCTCCTCCTCCGCTGTATAATATGATGGAATAAATGTGAAATGTAATCACTATACGGTACAAAATGAATTCATTATGCTTAAAATAGTAACTTCAGTTCATATACTTCTAATTTGTCACACCCTAAGGCCTTAAGCAAAGTTAATATACAAATCAGAAAGCAAAAACCACATCAGAATTGCCAGCAGCTTCTTCAACCCAAGGAAGATTCAGGGTCAGTTTGCCATCAGTTGACCACTCAAAAGCTACCTCAGTCCCATTCAAACAACATTCTTTGGAGACTCACTTGAGTAGGCCAAGAAATTGCCTCCACCTTTAACCTTCATCTGGGCACTAAACTCAACTGCAGTAGTTTTGTACTCCAACTCTTGGACACTTCCTCCACTGTTGAACATGTTTGTAAGTCCAATTGGCGCGAACTTGATGCTGCTTCCTATCTTTTTAATTGGCACAAAGCTGAAAAGCTCGAATGTAGATGGTTGGATGGTGATTTGAATTGCATCAGATTTCGGGGTCACGAGTCGAAGTTCTTCAGCCTGGTTGAGATAGACCACATACTCTTCGGCCTTACATAGATTGGCTGCTTCTATCTTTTGGTCCCATTCAATTTCTGAAACATGCAATGAACAAGAGATTGGCTTGTAGCAATCTGAGTAGCCTTTGATCCTCTTCTCCTTGGGGTCCCAGCCAGCCCCTTGGCAGTTGAAAGCTCCAATCACCCCACCATACTGTGGAATAATTATAATAAATTGAGTAAGTACCTTTCTCAATCAAATTGCAACAGACTACAAAATAAGTTGTCCTAGTATGTAGAAAATGACAAGTATGATCACACAATGCCTTGCTGGTCTCAATTTTACAGATTGTCAGTATCTTATTAATGAGATTGAGGAACATACCTTGTTGAAGTTCCAAATTTTCAGAACAGTTTTGTTGTCGAATAAAGGGTTTTTGAAGAGGCAGTCCCTGGTGGGAAGCGCAAAATGCTGGCACTTGGGGATGGTACCATCTGGGTAAACAAGCTTCTTAATGAGATTGAAATCATGACCAGCAACCGAGTCGCTTACATATACTGGACCCCCACAGATAGCCCTAGATCCTGCATGAAATTTGGCACACGGATGGTCTGATTGGAACATATCCCAATCTGGATGTATGATCTGACCCATCCACATGCTGTTGTAGGCACAATGAATCATATGAACACCTTGTAACCAGTAAACTCCCATAGGATCTCCATTTGGATCCTGGAACCAAAAATCATCACCTGCAATAGAAGAATAACATCCATGATGACATGTCCTGTGGTTTAAAATGAAGTTATAGGTTATACACAATATCGATTTGTTTGGATTTTCTTACCAACTCTTCCTATAGAGATTTGCTTTGTCCCAAGGAAGAAGAAGTCGTTGCATTGATGCATGCTAGCAATAAGTCCAGTCCCATTGAAGTTCTTCTGAAGAGAATGAGTCAGCCCCTTGTAATAAGCCTTTGCAAGCTCCACACGGCCTCCGTATTCCTCAGATACATATTCAAGAGTCTATACGGAAAATTCATGTAAACAGTTAAAAGTCTGCAAGTGAATATAGATAAACAAATAAGAAAATACAGCAGAAAATAAGATGGTGATATGTTGAATACTTACATGAATAACATCCACTTTGACTCCTGTGATACCAACTTTGGAAAGGTAGGAGTGCATAGCGTCAAACAAATTATCGGCTTGATCAGGATTAACAAGCCCGATCCCCCCCTCAACGATTTTCACCACAGCAAGGTCAGTCATGGTCCCATCAAGTCCAGGAGAGACTTTGCAGGGGATGACCTTTGCACTGAGATGGGTTGCACCTGGCCTAACACCACCCCAGGCACCACAGAGAGCATGCCATACATATATATCATCTAAACCTTTATATTTGGTTCTCAAATCGCTTGTGAAGGCCTTCATTCCATAGTTATCAGCTCCGCAAGAACAGCTTCCACAGCCTTCATTAGAAGCACTGCTTTCTTCTTCACCAATTATCTCTTTCAACTCTTGCTTCAGCTTCTGAATTTTTGTTTCAAACTCGGACAAGTCAGTGACTCCAGATTGAATGGCCTTGTCACGATTCTTCTCAGCATGCTCTATTTCAATTGCCTTGGCTATCAACAACTTTGGCTTTTTAGGATCAAATGAAGGAGCATCAGGGCCCAACATAGACCCTCCTCTGTAGTTCCTGAACTTCTTGCACTCCTCAAACCTGTGAAGCCTAGCAGTCATTTGAGTCCCACCAAGAACTAGATTTTTCGCGTCCTCATGCAGGTCCTCACCATCCAAATTGATGCTTTGCCAGCCATCATCAATGATGAGAAACCTAGGGGATACACCGCCTTCAACAAATTCTTTGACACCATGCCAGACACCAACAGGTTCTACAGTTAAGTAGAAGGCATCCCAAGTACACCAACCAAATTTGTCAACTAGATTTGGGACTGTCTTCTCTTCTAACAGCCTAAAGGTATTGAGATGGACCCTGAGAGCACTATAGGCTTCTTTCATCAAGTTGTAGGGATTTTCAGAGGCATGAACATAAGCGATGGCATCAAAATTCGATGCTTGCACTTGGGTAGAACCACTCTCAGCACAGATCATTACATGATCATCAGTGCCAGGATGAAGAGCAGACCTAAAACTGCCTTCAATAATGGGCAGGATTATCACATAGGACTTAATCTCTGGGACATCTAAGAGCACCCATTGGGTTTCCATTTGCAAACTTGACCCAGAATTCCCCACCCACATTGTAGACCACCAGGTCTTGAACCTAAAGATGCTAAGGAAATCCCTGTTACTGAATCTACCCAAGGAGTTCATCAACCTATCTGAGGGCTCCTCCTTGTTGAATCCAAGGAACCCGCCCTTGTGGGACAAGGCACGAACGCGTTGGATTAGAGGAAATGGAGCATCAGAAGATTGGGAGGTTGAGTGGAAGTGATTAAAAGTGACATTGCTTGGAACTTCAGAGAGCAATGGAACACCTTTGACACTAAACTTTCCATTAGACAAATCAAAGTATTGTTCTAAACCGTTGGACCGACACAAACTGAGGATTGGACTAACAGGATCATCAGGAGGTGCCATGAGGACAGAAAAACAGAGAAAGGAAGATGAATTACAAGAAGTTCTACAACTCAAACCTAGCTAAAAAGAAAACCTTGGTTAACGGGAATTTGCAATTTCTTGACACACTTGACTTGTACAGAAGCTATAAAAGAGAGATCACAATTCACCAAAACAAAACACACAGTGAGAGCAAAGAAAGAAAGAAATGAATGAGTGAAGAGTGATTTACAAGTGATTGAAAGTTTGGTTTTGCACTGAAAAAATGGGAAGGCTGTGCTGGGATTTATAGGCAGAGGCAACAGAGAGAAGAATGGAAAAGGTGGCGTGGAAAACTTGTAGTAAAAATAGAATCAAGAAAGATATACTGACAAAGAGAGTTGTTCGGATGCTGTGTATTTATGGTTGGTTTTTCGGGTCTGAGTTCTTTTTGCTTTCGTCTTTTTTTTTCTTTCTTTCTATTCTTGGGTGCATCAGGAACCTTATTACATGAAAAACAAACCGACTCCATGGACAGTGACTGGAACTTGCTGTAACATCCCAGAAAGTGGGACCAGTCGAACCAAATAAAATAGTCAAATTTTAATCCACAGTAACAGTAGATTTTAAAGTTTGAAGGATCCATGTATATGCAACTGCCATACATGCATATGTGTGTTTTGGGCATGATTATTTTTTCTGTTTTTTAACGGGGACTGGCCGTTATGAATTTCAATGAGACTAAGCGTCACAAAACTGGAAGTCACTGCATTTAGTAAAAGAAAAAAAAGAAAACAGGAAGTTTCTGAGAATGAGATTAGACGTTACATTGTTTATTTGACCTAACTAATTTATTTGGATTGGATTTCCCAAATATGATTTCTCAACTTTCATTAAAGCTGGTCATTGATATAATTTTTTTTTATACAAGCGATATTAAAAGAAGGAATCGAACCTAGTAACAATTTTGATTTTGGAAAGGCAAGAGGTACATTTGAGTTTGACAGCAACCAGAGATACATTTGACGAAACTGTAGGAGCTTCTGTGCAGTAGGCCACTCTTGATTTCTCTCATCTTTGAATTCGCACGTTGCCGCATGGGCAATCTATGGCTAGGATGCGTTCACGCACCGACTACTGACCACAGCAATTCTCTTCTAATGACCCAACAAATATGAAGTGTGATAATGACAGTCACATAGGGAAAGGATGACAAATAGGCACATAGGGAAGTTTTTCTCCATATACAGTGCTCCTTACAACTAACTTTCAATCTTTTTTTTGAGGAATTGAATCCTTTTTCCATTGGTTGAACTTGCACCGTTTCACGAGGACTTTGAGGATCCGGATCCCTTGTGGAGCCAAGGTCACCTAATCTCAGCTAAAATACGAAGAGTTACCCAAAATCTTTGGTTTGGTTCTAAACCAAAAAAGATATTTTTAGTTTGGTTCTCAATTTCTTTTGCCACGACAGGTTTACTATTTCAATCGAATAAAGAATATAATAATAAAAGGTAACACGCCTTTTCTTTTTCTTCTTTTTCTTCCATCTGAATATACTTCATAAAATTCTACACGTTTTATCTGAATGTGATAGGCTCATATGCCTTTAAGAAATAGAATTCAACATTTCACAAATTCCAACTTTATTCATATTGGAATATACTTGAACTTCAAGATGATTTTATTCGGAAAATTTCTGCAAGAATAGTATCTTTTTTTTATCACGAACTTCTGCAGTAAGATTTTTAAGATAGCCTCGAGGGTATCTACCATAGAGATATGCTTAACATATCAGAATGAATTACTTGAGCATGCATACAGCAGCAACAGACCACCTTAACTACACTACGAAAATCGATGTAGCATGCCTCTTAGTCACTAGTTACATTATAAATGCATTCATTTTGCTTGAGGTTGTATGTACCTAGTGAGGAAGAAGATTGATTGTTAGGACGCAGAAAGCACTCATCTTGCACTGGGTCAAGGCACCATTAAGAAGCTCCGTACGGTAAAAGCGCAGCAGCCACAATCCTACCTTCCTCATTCAGTATGTTGTAAGTTGATATGGCGTTTCTCTGAAACAAAAATGAGACAATATTATGAACTTGGTAGTAGAACCCACTACTGTTATAAAGCCAAGTTGAAAATGGAGCATCAATTGCCATATCAGTTTTTTATTTCTCCACTCATTGGAACTACAGGCCCCAATCACAATCATTGGAAGAGGCTAATATAGGACTTGAAGTTGAATCTGTGTTCAACTTAGAAGGAGGTATGCAACAAAACTGAAGAAAGATGGCAGGTTAGGGCCTCACACAGAAAACAAGTTATAGTCAGGATATTTCCTAATACAGATGCCATTTGGTTATACTCCGGAGAGAATAATAAACTTAAATTTGGCAAAATCACCAATTCAGAACATAAAGACCACCTTGAAACTCATGGAGGGGGAAATACTCTTCATAATCTTAGAAAACCCCAGATTTCATGGGGAAGTATAACTAAGAGAAAGTAAAATTTGGTTACAGATTTTAACTCTAGCCTCCTGGTGGCTCAACATTTGAAACTAGATAAGAGTCATCTCCTCCAGTTAGTGTCACATGTGAAACTACCCAATAGAACTCATAATTGCCAATGCTGAGATTTAAACACTACGCAGCGGATAAGTGAGTGAATTTATTTGAAACTGAAAACAGGGGGATTGGGTCTAAATCAAATTCTCCCCTTTCCCACTCAATCTTTCACTTTTATCCCTTGTGGCATCAGCCAATTTCAGTAAAGCAAAAACACCTGAAGAGCTAGTTCATAATTACCTACCAGTGAAATTGATAGTCCCAAATATACAAACTATTGTCACAAATGACAGCCCACTGATGTACAAGGAAAATATAAGAAAGGCTCCACACTATCATAGTGATTGCTAAAGCTTGCATAAAGTGGGAATTAGGTTGGTTAATAAAGAATTCTAATTAACAAGAGACATGATCAAATCCCCCATCGCATTTGTTTTTAGGAGGGGAAGTGCTATTAATCCTTGTCTGGATATGCAGAAAGAAAGTTCCCACCATACTAGAGTAGTAATTCATTGTACATCAAGATTTTAGGGGTCCATGTGGAACCTAGAAATGAAATTACACTTTATGTAACAAGTTACTGTACTTCTGTAATACTTAAATTCTAAATTATTTGAACGTGATATCATTGATCAAACCCCAAATTCCTGATATCCTCTACTTTCCTAATTTCCTAAAGCTTTCTATATATAACATTAGGATAACAGCATTTAATATTTGATGAATAACGTAGCAACATCGAATTTCCTTACAAATCAATGTTAGGTATTCATTTGTCAGATAAATCAGAACATTAAGCGGCCATAATAAAAATAATGTGCAAGAAAAAATGAATAAAATAGGCACAGTGATGAAATATACCGAGTCAACGGCTTCTAACTTCATTCCCGTAGAGCGAATGAAGCGTCGTAGTTCAGGATCTACGGGTTCAATGTTTCTCCCAGTGCCAAGAATCAAAATCTCTGAAATAAATTATCAAAATAAGATGTCAATGAAAAAAGCAGTTAGCCAAGAATCATATGAATGGCAACAACAAATAACTTCAGAGTAAAGAGTAACCATATTGTTTAGTGAGGATGGGATGGCCAGACACAGCAAGGGAAAGAGGAAAAGAAAGCATTTTGAGGGATACAAATTTCAATAATCCCTTGATTGAGGCAAATGTTGTACATAACATTTTGGTTGACATTTCAATTTTTCTATCGGCATAGAATGTACTATTAGGTCATTACTGTTTCAGATTTGGAAGCAAGAGATGAAACATGATTACAATATTATACGTTTCAGTACACAAGTTAATAATATAAGGGAAGTCAGTAAGCTTCCACATTTCAACTGAGAATGTAAAGGTTTTTCACCGATGACTTAGTGCTAAATAACAGCTTGTGCCGAATGCTCTCTATATGATTGGTTAGCTGGGAGCCCATGTTTCATACAAAGGAATTGATCATATAATATATTGACTTACTGCTTCTTACAGAAAAAGAAAATTGTTCTAAATTCTCTCTATGAGTCTACCTAAAGTAATTGATGAAGGACAATCTAGAACAAGGTGCCCCTGACAAGAAGGAAGAAAAAAGAAAACAAATTTGGAGGCAAAATAACGGGATTAAACCAAAATTTGAAATTTACCAGGTATAGGCCGCACGATTTGAAACATTGATAAGCTGCATCACAACATAAAATAGATGAAATTTAGATAAAACTGCTATTTCTACTTTTTTTTTTTTTTTTTTTTTTTTTTTTGTATTTTTTTTTTTTGTTTTCTTTGCTCTAATTAAGCTTTAATTGATTATTAAGAGTTTTATCCTCAATTAACAAAAATGCCAGAAAAAACAAAATTAAAATTTCAAGCATATAGCAAAGAAAGACCTATCAGGAGTGACATGAGAGAACTTGGTGGGAGCCCAAGACATCAACATATTTCCAACACAAAGCAAGCTTCCTTCATAGTCCACCCCATTCACTCTGAATCCTGTCTCAGTGTACCTTCATCACAATAAGTGGCACAACTGTAATTAGTGGTTGTTTTTCGGTTTACAAACGAAGCAAAAGTGAATTCATTTCAAGAAGAGAAAATTAATTGAAGAAACAAAGGAAGAGGAAGGCAGGCAGGCAGGCACCGTTGAAAGCGAAGCTGGTCATCAGGGACGTTGTCGATGAGATTGATCTGATCGTAGAGAGAGAAGGCGCGCCTCAGAGACGGAAGTGATTGTTGCTTTGGGTGGGCTTCCTTCCGGAGGCTTCGAATGAGGTTTGGCAATGCCCCCACACCTCTCGCTCTCAACCCCATTTGGTTCTCTCTACATTTGATTTTCTGAGTAGCATAAAAAATAACTCAACACCCAACTGTGACTTGAGATCCTCCTTTTTTTCAACCTTTTGGGGTATAGCCGGGCGGCTCTCTTTTTAAGATATTCTATTTTGAGTATAGCCGCGCGGCTATACTTTTAAAATATTCTATTTTTGGCGTATAACCGATCGGATGTGCGTTTAAGATATTCTATTTGGGAGTATAGCCGTGCGGCGATACAGTTAAGAGATTGTAGTATATAGAGTATAGCCACGCGGCTATACGTTTAGGATATTCTATTCAAGTGATACATACAGGAATATCATTTTGAGCATAATTGAAGGTGTCTCTCTTTTGATGTCATGGAGATGATCAGTGAACACCGCCCCCAGTTCAGTCCGAAATATTTATCAGGTGAGCTTCAAATTATTATTAATTGGTGGATGTAATTTAGGCGGTTTGGTAGTATTCATAATATATATTGTTTTCTCTTTTTAATATATTAATATGTTTTTATATGATCGTCTTGTTCGAACGATATACTATTTGATAAGATTGTTGCTATTTAGACTGCATTGCTGACCGCCTATCTAATACAGGTGGGTTCCTCCCACATACACTGGCAGGGCTCACCTCTCTAATAAACGTAGTCAGCAATGTGATCAATATAAATGTGGTTCAAATAACATTATTGATTTGATAATGGCAGCAATATTCTGAGTTCCTGGTCTGTGATTCTTTTTGAGGTTTTCTAGTAATGTATAACTCAACGTGGATGAAAGCAAACGATGCTAATTAAATGGATTATATTATAGAAAAGATGTTTGGATCTTTAGTTGATTGTAGTACAAGACAAATATTGCGCATGTGTCCAGCGCCCAACTTTTTAGAATGGTGACGAGGTACGGGTATGGTTTGAAGGTGCTCAAGCTTGAGCTTCTTGGTGGTATGGCTACAATTGAAAAGGTTTTATTAATAAAATTTCCATTTATCTTAGATCTAGACATAAGTGTATTAATCCATTCTATAATTTATTTTAATTCCCTTTCGTGAGAAAACGATCCCACAAAGAAAGGAATTGTGCAGTACGAAATAACGTAAAAACATATTCATTAAAATAAAAAGGAAGACCTTTTACTCAAATTGTTTACTATTTCTTAAAAAAATAGGAAAAAAAGTATAGCCGCGCGGTTATACTATTTCTTAAAAAAATTAGAAAAACGAGTATAGCCGTAAAAAAAAGAAAAAGAGCCGAGTAAAAAATATAAAATTAGATATTTTATAAGAAATTTTAAGAAATATTATACTCTATAAATAGAAATTTTAAACGTTTAGCTGCTCGGCTATACTTTATAAATGCGTAAAGCATAGCTCTCCAACTCTCCATTAGTGAACCCACACATCTCTCTCTGACTTTACAACTACGATTGATTTATATCTTGTTGGACCATTGATTTATGACTTTGATATCAATCTTCGTATGAGTTTGTGGTCTCGTGTTTTGCAAGTGCATATTGATTTCTCTTCCATCCAGTTTGGTTGTATTTGGCATGATATGGAAATCAATGCACGCCCTGGTGTGCTTCATATCTTGTTGATAGCTTTTTTGGGGTTATACTCACTTGGTATTCCGGTGCCCTCCAATGCTTATGTATCCTTCCTAGTGCTTTACTGATGACCCGAGTCTTATATGTTTCCTGCTGTTTCTGAGATTCATCCCTTGTAATTTTGCAATTATTTCTCTCTTTTAATGCGGTGTCGGTGAATTTTACTTTTAGTCCTGACTTAAGGCTTGAATTTATGTTCCTCCATTGATTTTATTTTGGCTGATGTCATGTCAGAGTATGCAATAGTTTACTCGGTTCTGTTCTGTGTTGGTTTCTCTGAAAGTCAGTCTTAGCTTTTGATCTGTGGGGTGAGTTGGAATCTGGTTACATGCTTATGTGGGTTTGAAATCTTACTCTTTTGTGAAAGTGATGAAGAGATTTGGTAGTGCATGGTTTTATTGCTTCTGGTTGTTGATACAATTTTAAATGAGGCTCTGTTTTGTTGTCATTTGCAGGTTCTTGGCAGGATTTAATCGATTAAGATGATTCAAAATGGATTGTTGCTAAAGTTAAGAAGTACTTCCTATTTGCATAATATTTTTGTAAAAGCTCAAGCAGAAGAACCATTTTATGTAATATTTATAGACATAACTGGACTAAGTTAGGTACTAGTATTAAAAAATTTGTAAATTGATCATCGGAGAAACGGACATCTTTTTCGAACAACAAAAAGTCCTAAAATTACATTGTAGGACAAATATCATTATCTAAACTGCCCAGGGGAATGAAATTTTTGTAAGTGTTCATTATATCTTAACATTACCTCAATAATCCTTGTGATGGAAATGGAGTTGGCACAATTTTGTGTACAATTATACACAACATCCGAAAGAGTTAACTTGCATTTAATCATGCATTGCTCCTCATTTTTCTTGACCAAGAGTGTTGCCATTTGGAACCGCAGCCCTGAACACACTAGCATCCATTGCTCCTCACTTTTCTTTGTTTTTTTTAATGCAACTCTGTTTGATTCTCGAAGTTTGTTGGTGGTGGAAGTGGAAGCTAAAGCCACAATTTATAAGGAGATTACTGTTAATTATTGTGGTTTGTCTTTTTGTTTTGTTGTTGTTGGTGAATCATTGTTGTGTTGCAGTGGTGGAGTGGGCAAATGAAGCTCTTCAAGGTCTTGGAAAGGGTGCTCCCTTTTCACTCTACTTGACACAAAAGTATTTCTCCAGAGCTGCATCTGCACTTAGGAAAAATGACAAGATTTGTTAATATGCTCAAGATTCCTTCCTCTAAATTGGCAGAAGAATGTAGTTTCAGGAAATCAATGATGACAAGAGAGCAATTTGGCTTGAAAAATCGTGTCCTTCGTATGATGTTTGCAACATGCATCACAGGGATCAACTTGAAGCTCTCCACCTCTCCATCTGTTCAATAAGGGGAAAATTGCAGAGGGTTTAGGATGAAATGAAAGGTGAAAAATGACGAAGCTAAACTCAAAGTTCACTACTATTTTAGGCAAGGAAGGACCCCTTGCTCTTCCAGTTGCCTCAGATTACAACCACAAAATCCAGCCAGATCTTGGGTCAAGTAGTTTCACCAATTACTTTGACATTAAAGTGCACCAGAGCTGTCTAATTTAGGAACATGTCATGTAAATCCATCTCCTTCGCGGTTGGGGAACGCCCATGCTATTTTATCAAGGTCTGGAGGCTCTAGATACCAAGTGCAAACTATTCAAGCCGTCTAATTTCTATACGATTTCTTTTTTAAAAAAATTAGAAAAATCAGAGTACAGCCGCTCGGCTATACTATTTAATAAAGAAATGAAAAAAGGACCCTCCTAGTTGCACAGGTTTATACTTTTTCTTCCCCCCAAAAAAAAAGAAAAAAATCTATTACAGCCGCGCGGCTATACTAATTTTTGGGAAAAACCGAGTATAGCCGCCCGGCTATACCGGGGTCCTTTTAAAAAAAGAAACGAGCAAAGCCGCGCGGCTATACTATTAAAAAAAAATTCAAAAAACCGAGTCTAGCCGCACGGCGATACAATTTTTTTTTCCTGACTTTAAAAGGAAATGGGCTCATTAGCCGATACAGATATGTCTTTGGGGCCACAAGAAAACCCAATTGCTCTCTTTTGCCATTCTTTTACTCTCATGAAATTTGGAGGTGTAAACGACAACGTTTGGGTGTTGTAACCTGAAAGGGATGCGATTGAACCGGTTCAGAGTTGAGACGAATCATAACGATGGCTCTGTTGTACCTTACGGTGGAAAGTAAGGGCCTGTTTGGTATCTTATCCAAGTAGGGAACTCAAAAATTGTTATTTTTCTTAAAAACAAGGGGTTCTCAAATTCATTTTTTAAGTTTTAAAAAGTTGTTTGGTATGCAACTTGAAAACTGTTTTTGAATCTTAAAACTTGTTTGGTTGAATTCCTGAAAACAATTTTTTTTCTTCATTTTTTATAATTAAGATATTTTCGGCAAATTGCAATCAAGTTGCCAAAAGATGCTTGTTTTCTAGTTTCTACCCAAAAATAGCTACCAAAGCTGCTTCTTTTTCTCACTTTTTAGTCTTAGAGAGAGAAGGAACAATAACAAGTTGGTTTTGACTGTTAAAAGAAAGTTACAATGCCTTTTTTACTCAAACAAACATCAAGTTACCAAAGCTGCTTTGTACCCAAACAAAGTTACCAAAGCTGCTGTTTTTCGTCACTATGGGGTGGAGAGAGAGAGAGAGAGAGAGAGAGAGAGAGAGATGGGCAGAGAGCTATCAAGGTAAGTTGCCATCAGCAGCTTTGTACCCAAAAAACCAACATCAAATGAATGTTTGGGTCCCAACCCATCCCAGTTTGAGAAATGAGCTTTCCAAACTCACGGTGAATCTTGCACAATCGGTTATATTTTTGCTTCAATTTGTCACGGTTGTATCTTTTCCCAAACTTGTGAAACAACTTCTTCTCTATCCCAGCCCACTCATTCTTATCTAAAGTATTGGTTTGCAAGCCTTTTTTGGCCTCTTCATGTAATAGATGAATAAAATGGTCCTCAATAGGCTTTGGCCAATTAGCTTTATCATCAAGCTCATTTTCAAGGTCCTTGTTTGACATCTCTCTACTATGTATGAAACCAATGTAAAAAACAATCAAACACAATCAAACACAATCAAACAATTCTAAGACAATATATACCACAAAGGATCCTTATTGCATAAATAAAAGATGACAACAACATAAAACTAATAAGTTGCAGAAAGTTCAGACATTGAAATGAATGGCGGAGATTGAACCACCAGATACATGGAGGAGAGAGCAAAGAAAAAGTCTCACGAGAGACAAATGAAGATAATCAATGACTTAAAGTGCACCATATTTTGGAGCAAGGAGAAGTCTCATGAATTTATTTCAAGATTGTATACATATACGTTCATTTGGCGAAGGGTGATACAGAAAATATTTTTCCAGCTGCCATCTCAAAGGATGGTCGGTCGTACAATGAGCAGGTACTTAAGATGAGGCAAAGCTTTACTTTACTTCTGTGCAATTATTATTATTTTGGTTTCTAGTTGTCTTCCAAGAATATCATTATGTTTGAGTTGTAGCAAACTGATGTCATTGGATATTTCTCCAGTTGTTTAGTGCTGCAGCGGATGTCCTAAGGGGAATTGGAGAAGATGGGAGGGTCATACAGGAATTTATTGAGCTTGGTGCCAAAGCCAAAGTTGCTGCTTCTGAGGCCATGGACACTGAAGCTGTTCTCGGGGACATACCAGATGAATTCCTTGATCCAATTCAGGTATGTTTTTTGTGTTTGTGGGTAGGTAGGTAGGTTGGAACGCGGCTTTGATTATAAATATTTGTATTTCCTTTCATGCAGTACACTTTAATGAAGGATCCAGTTATCTTGCCTTCTTCAAGAATCACGGTAGACCGACCTGTCATCCAAAGGCATCTTCTTAGTGATAATGTACATCATCAACACTGCTAATTAATCTTGATCTTATGAAATGTATCTCCTTTGCGTGCTAATTTATGTACTTAATGTGATTTGCAGTCGGATCCGTTCAACCGCTCCCATCTTACGGCGGACATGCTGATACCAGACAATGAATTGAAGGGAAGAATACAAGAGTTCATTAGGTCCCAAGAATTGAAGAAGAGCGGGGAAGACCTAAGCATGCAGAGCGGCAAGGCAACCATACAGACCACAACTAGCGAAATGCTAATTGATTAGGAGGATATAAGGTTAATATAATAGGGGATGATTAAGATTTAGGGAGTTTCACAAAAACACCCAAAATGGGGGCTGAAATTATAAAAAAAACCCAACACCCAAAACACTTTATAAACACACTCAAAACCCATCATTAGAGCCTTTCCACCGCAGCAGCCCATCCCGAGGCTAGGGAAAAAAAAAAAAAAAAAAAAACGTTCCAGCGGAGCAGCCCAGGCCGGGGGTGGGGTGGGACCCACCACCTCGGGCTGGCCCGAAGGCAAGTCTTACCCAAGGTCCAAAACGCGGGGGCTAACGCCATGTCGACGTCAGGGTGATGTCGACACGCGGTAATCAAAAATTTTTTACCGTTGGCGCGTGCAATGCACGCGCCAACGGTAAAAAAATTTTGAACCAGCGTGCGCTGACGTCAGCGCGACGCAGGCCCAACGGCTGGAAGCCACGTGGCACGCCCCCAGCGCTCCGATTTGATTCCACAGCCTTCATCCAACGGCTGGCGATTTTCCAGCAATAAAATTATGAAAAAAAATCAAAATTTTTTAAAAAAAAATACTAAAAAATACTTTCAAATTCTGATTTTTTTTTCCTATAAATACCTATAAATACCCTTCACTTTCAACACCAATTCTCATACATTTTATTCTACTTCTACAATTCTTCAACATTTTTTCACTCTTCACTTAACATTTTCATCTTTTTCACCTTGTATTTTTATTTCTTATTTTTATGGCTTCTTCTATTGAAACCGGAGGGGCGTGGAGCACCATGGAAGATGTTTCTTTGTGTGAGGCTTGGCTCCGAGTTTGTCATTGTCCCGTGACAGGCAATGAGATGAAATTTTTCCATATGTGGAAAAAAAATTCATGCCGAATTTTCGGAAAAAATTCCGGAGTCGCCTCGTACGGAAATGGCATTGTCGAGTAGGTGGAAACTTCTCAACAAAGAGAATGAATGGAGTATGAATTCTAAACTCTAAGAAATGAAAATATTGAAAGATGTGGTGTGAGAGGTATGAGGTGAGCCTCTGGTTTTATAGAAAAATTTGGCAAGATAGAGATGCCACGTGGCTTGATTTGATTGGATGAAAATCTTATCTGAAATTTGAAATTCATCCGAAATTTGAACCCAAATTTATCTGAAATTTGAATTTTGAAATTCATCCGAAATTTGAAATTTGAAATTCATTCGAAATTTGAACCCAAAAATTTATCTGAAATTTGAATTTTGAAATTCATCCGAAATTTGAACCCAAAAATCTTATCCCGAAATTTTATCCGATTATGAATAGTCTTGACACGTAGGAACCCGTAAATCTTATCCGAAAATATTATCCAAATTAATTATTGAGGTAAAAAAAATTGTGAATAAAACAAAAAAATGAATAGTAACTGCCCTTAGCAAGGGCAACGGGTGGAAACACAAAATTCTGATTTTGCAAGGGCAACCACTATTCACGTGAATAGTGGCTGCCCTAGCTCCCCCCCTTGCCATGGCTAAGGGCAAATGGGTGGAGTTGCTCTTACACACACTCAAAACCCATTTATAAACACACCCAAAAAATATACAATTGTTGATTTTGGGTGTGTTTCTATGTTTAAGTAGTGCTTGGGTTTTTTTTATAAATACATGTCTAGGATTGGGTTTATTTATAAATTTGTATAAGATTTATAGCCTTTGGTGGAAAGTAACAGTGGAGGAATTCTCCAATAGGTTATTGTAACTATAATATATTATAATCAATTAGCCCGCTAATGATCCTATATAATGTTCTACTTGTCTGGTAGATAAAACTATTGACTTATTCTTGATGCTCCGTTTGGTTTGCAAAAGATTTGATGGGAAATCATTTCCCATGCTTGGTAATGTTGGGAAAGTAATTAGGAAATATCACTTTATTTTCTTTTCCATGTTTGGTTTGTGTAAGAATGAGAATCAAACTTTGTTTAGTTTTCCAATTATAAGCAAGTTAGAAATATAAAATAAATAAAATTTAAAAAAAGAATACAAAGAGTCTTTGTTGTGGGATAAATTGTAATTCTAAATTGTTAACGGAAACTAATTGGTCATGAAAATTGTGCATTTAATGCGTACTTTAGTTTCCCATGGGAAGGGAAAATGAAAGCAAGTGGGGTGGAGGGTTTCATTTGGAGCATGGCTTGGCTCCTTAAAATTGAGGAGGAGCTCCTCCTCTCAACAAATGAGATAATGGCACTTGTAAAATTCCAAAAGAAAAAATAATTCAAGGAATTCAAAAGAAAATAAAGTTCAAGCAATTTGACGAAGTGTCAAAACTCTATTTGTTGTGAGGAGGAGCTTCTCCTCAATTTTAAGGAGTCAAGCCATGCTATATAAATGATATGTAGTCAAATTTTGATGCACAATAATATAGATTACTACACACACATCTACTTGAAAAACTGTTTTCTCTCAAAATTTGATTAAGTATGAAAAATGAACTTTTGAAATACTAATGTTTTCAATGATATTTTTGGCGGTTTATAATCCTTACATCTTAAATTAGCAAACACAATTTTATGATAAAGTTAAATTGACTTATTGAGGTATCAATATTGGTATAAATTGTATCTTATACTAAAATTCATGTTTTAATTTGTTGGGAATTTGATTTTCTAGTATTTTTAATTGAATCTAAATGGGGGGTATTTCCTTATTTACATTGTAAACTTAAGTAAATGGAATGTTTGGAATGGAAATAAGGCAAGCCAATATAACCTAATAAAAAATAATAAAAAATCATATATTATACAAATAATTCTCACATATTATTGAATAAGAATAATATACGTTATAAAAATTATATTAAAATATTGTATAGTGGCCGATTAATATCTACTTTGGATATGTTTAAACTAGCAAAGTAATATCTATAAAGTATAAACTAATGCAACTTAGAGGGTCCTTTTTTCTTTTATTTATTTATTAAATAGTATAGCCCTTTTAAGTATAGTGTATTTAAATAGTATAGCCGAGCAAATGTACTACGTTTTTCTTTTTGAAAAATCGTATAGCCAGGCGACTATACTTTTTTTGGACATGTGGCTCTTAATCGTTGGAGGGTCCTTTTTTAAAAAAAATTAAAAAAAGTACAGCCGCGCGGCTATATTCTGTGTTTTTTAATTTTTTTTAAACGTAGACTTGTATTGACACATGGCGCCTAAACGTTGGGGTCCTACTTTTTATATTTAAAAATAGTATAGCCGCACGGCTATACTCAGTTTTTATTTTTATTTTTCTTATTTTAATAAAAAGGTAGGCTACACCCATAATATGTATTTCACTTTTTTAATTACTTTGATTAGTAATTTTTTTTTCCGAGTACTTTGATTAGTAATTAACTAAACCCTTTAGTGATTATTTACTTAGTGAATATTAAAGGAAAAAAAAAGAAAAAGAAAAATTGAATTACTATTTATTAAGTAATATAATTCATGAAGTTAATTAAAGTATTTAATCATAATTAATCATTAAATAAATAATAATTAAAATATAATAGCTAATTTAACTAATTAAATCAGGCAAATATGTTATGTAGTTACTAAAAATAAAATTTTTAAAAATTAATTAACCTAAACATCCTAAGTTTATATTTATTTTTTAAAAGTAAGACCTCTCCTGACGAAATTTCGTCGGCACAAGTATTTTCATCGGGGGAAACCTAATCCGGCAACTTTTGCCGGCATAGATCTATGCCGACGAAATTTCGTCGGGAAAAGTGATCATGTATATTTTTTTTTAAAAATTTTAAAAATATAAAATTAGTTTCTTTACTTTTTCTTTTGGCCAACTTCCTTAATTTAATATATGTAATTAAGCAATATCTTGTCCTTTTGAATTACTTTAATTAGTAATTGTGTTTTAAAAACCAAAGAAGTCTCCTTTTTTTAATTAGTAATTGTGTTTTAAACGCATGCCCAAGTAGTCTCCTTGTTTTAAAAACCAAACGTACAATAGTCATATTGTACATGTTCGTACATATTTCTAATGCTTAATACACATACTTTTCACAAAATTTTCATTAAGACGCACAAAGTTCACGTATTATTGAATAAGAATAATATACGTTATAAAAATTATATTAAAATATTGTATAGTTGCCGATTAATATCTACTTTGGATATATTTAAACTAGCAAATTAATACCTATAAAGTACAAACTAATGCAACTTGGGGGGTCCTTTTTTCTTTTATGTATTTATTAAATAGTGTAGCCCTTTTAAATATAGTGTATTTAAATAGTATATCTATGCGGCTGTACTATGTTTTTCTTTTTCTTTTTTTGGACACATGGCGCCTAATTGTTGGAGGGTCCTTTAAATAAAAAAAGTACAACCGCACGGCTATACTATGTGTTTTTTAATTTTTTTTTAATAGTAGACTTGTGATGACACGTGGCTCCTAAACATTGGAGTCGTCCTTTTTATATTTAAAAATAGTATAGTTGCACGGCGATACTCAGTTTTAAATTTTCTTTTTCTTATTTTAATAAAAAGGTAGGCTACACCCTTTAAGCAGCATAATATGTATTTCTCTTTTTCAATTACTTTGATTAGTAATTAACTAAACACTTTTCCTTTCAACTTTTTCTTCCTCCATGTTCCATGACGCCGATTCATCGAACTCAACATCTCGGCTTATCATGAACTTTTTACTTATGGGATTGTAGACTCGATAGCCTTTAGATTGGGAACTGTATCCCAGAAATATACCAACTTCAGATTTTTCTTCTAGCTTGTGTCTTTTCTCCGTAGAAATGTGCACATAGCAAATGCATCCAAATACTTTGAGATGCTTTGCTGATGGCTTTATATTGCTCCAAGCCTCAATATATAGGAGTCTTATTTTGTAAAGCTTTTGTTGGGCATCTATTTAGCAAGTATAATGCTGTATATACAGCTTTTGCCCAGAATGTGTTTGGCAAGCCTTTTTCAAATATCATGGATCTTGCCATCTCCATGACAGTTCTATTTTTTCTTTCTGAGACTCCATTTTGTTCAGAAGCATAGCCAACTGTTAGTTGATGCTATACTCCTTCATCTTCACAAAATTTGTTGAATTCTTTAGAGGTATATGTTTTTCCTCTATCACTTCTTAGTGCTTTAATATAGTGGCCACTTTATTTTTCGACATGAGTTTTGAATTTTTTGAAGATATCAAATACTTCTTATCTTTCTTGTAGAAAATAAACCCACGTCATTATAGTATATTCATCTATGAACAGGATAAAGTACATGTTGTTATCAAGAGATGGAGTCCTCATGGGTCCACAAACGTCTGTGTGAATAAGCTCCAACAAGGTCTTAGCTCTCCAAGCCTTTCCAGATGGAAATGCTTGTCGATGTTGTTTGCCAAGTTGGCAACCTTCACAGACGTCATGGATCTCTTTTATGTTTGGAAGGTCTCTCATCATATTCTTTTGATAAAGAGTTTTTAGTGCATAAAAGTTAAAGTGGCCAAATCTTCAATGTCATAACCATGAATTTTCTACTTCTGCTTTCATGGCTGTGGCTTTTACAAATTGCCATTGGATGGGAAAATTTCTATTTACCATCCTTACTTTTGTTATTATGTGATTTTAATTTCTTTTATCGAATATTGTGTAAGAGTCTCTAGAAAAGTGCAAAGAGTATCCATTTTCAATCATTTGTCCAACACTTAATAGATTATGCTCTAGGCTAGGTACTAGTAGAACATCTTTAATATATTTAGTTCCTTTATTAGTTTGGATAGAGATTGTACCTTTTCATTTTGTCTTCACCAGTGCTCCATTTCCCAGTTTTACTTGGGATTTTACGGACTTGTCTATGTTGGAGAAGATGCTTTCATCTCCAGTCATGTGGTTACTACAGCTGCTGTCAATATACGATTTTCTTTTGTTTCCTTATGATGTGGCTTGATGAGCATAAAACACATGCTCATTCTTCTACTTTCTTTTGAGTAATTGGCTTGATAGTTCTTGGTTTGATAGTCTTTTTCTATGTGCCCAAATTTTTTACAATTTCGACATTTTACTTTTACACACCCCGCAGGGGGATAGTTTTTCCTCTCTTTCATTTCTTTTTTATTTCCCCAATTCTTATTGGATTTATAATCTTCTCCTCTAGAACTTTCTCCAAATTTTCTTTCCCCTTCTTTAGTTTTCTGAGACCTTAAATTTAGTTTTGACTTAAAGACGCTTTCAATTGATGAATTTTCATTTAGCCTACTCAGTCTTTTCTCATATGCTTTAAGAGAGCCCATTAGTTCTGTCACTGACAGACTAGTTAAATCTTTTGTCTGTTCAGTGGTAGTAACTAAAGGATCATACTTATCAGGAAGACTTATAAGTATTTTTTCTACAATTCTTGAATCATTAATATTTTCTCCATAGGCTCTCAATGGATTGATTATTTCTTTTATTTTAGCGTAATAGTTTTGTGTGGTCTCAGAATCCTTCATTTTATTGTTTTCAAAATCTCTTCTCAAAGTTTGTAGTTTAACCGCACATACCTTGGCATTGCCTTGAAATTCCTCCTTTAAGGTATTCCATGCTTCCTTTGCAGTTGTGGCTCCCATGATCCTTGGAAAAATCGCATCATGCAAGGTTTGTTGCAGGGCATATAAGGCCTTTGCATCCTTTTGTTGATCCTTCTTTAGTTAACTCAACTGTTCCATGGTTGGATTTTCTGGATTATTGAAGCCACTATCAACTATGTCCCATAAATCTTGAGACATAAAATAGGTCTTTATTTTAATACTTTAGAAGTCATAGTTTTCTCAGGTGAAAATAGGAAGAGGGACAGAGTTCTGGCTAGTGGTTTCAAAATACAGTTTCAATTCCTCCTTTAAGGTATTCCATGCTTCCTTTGCAGTTGTGGCTCCCATGATCCTTGGAAAAATCGCATCATGCAAGGCTTGTTGCAGGGCATATAAGGCCTTTGCATCCTTTTGTTGATCCTTCTTTAGTTAACTCAACTGTTCCATGGTTGGATTTTCTGGATTATTGAAGCCACTATCAACTATGTCCCATAAATCTTGAGACATAAAATAGGTCTTTATTTTAATACTTTAGAAGTCATAGTTTTCTCAGGTGAAAATAGGAAGAGGGACAGAGTTCTGGCTAGTGGTTTCAAAATACAGTTTCAATTATTTAAAAATGATAGAAAATTATTTTAGTATTCCAAACCCCAAATCCAAGTCTCGAACCAATAACCCTAGCTTTTGAGAGTTATCTCATTTATGGTTTGTACTAAGATGGATGCAAATAATATGTTCAAGAGTTAAAACAAATTTATACCCAAAAAAATGATAAAATAATAATAATTCAATAGAGAAAACAAATTTACTTTCATAATCTCAATTAGTTCCAGTCCTACACTACTTTAAATCTCAACTCACCTATGAAGCATGTATACGGATATGGCAATACAATACGAAAGGCAATACGAAAAATCTCTAAAAACTAGGATATGATACGGCAATTAAAAATATATATTAATAATATCATATATAGTTATCAAAATATTTATAACATAAAACTAAGATAAAAATACAGTAGAAGAAGTGTTGGAGTATGATCGTGCAAAGTAGACCTACGGCTGGCAAACTCTTCGAATTTTTAAACCAGCTACAGTTAAAGCTTATCTCCTCTTTATTTTCCCTCTTAAAACCTCTAAAACGAGTATCCGACTCGTGTCCGGAATGTCGGATACACGTGTCCGTGCATCAAAGACTGTATCCGTTGACGACTCATATCAGAGCATATCCGACACGGGATTCGGATCTAAATCAGAGTATCCGTGCTGAAACAAACCACAAGAAAAATATAGCAACCATCGCTGATCACTGCAATTAGAAGAAAAGGACCCCTACAAATGAAATGCAGGACATGAGAGTTGCAGACGTGATGGCGGCCATTGCAACTGCAGCATCATTCTTCTGCTCGTTCTGGTCACCAGATTGAGGGTAGCTTGCTGGTTCCAAGACCTTGATGATCATCTTCTGGCCTCTCTCGCAGTGCCCAGAAACCCCACTAATGAAATAGAACAAACCAGGCCGGTCCAATGTGAACACGGTCACACCATTGTTGGAGAAGAAGATGGGATGAGCAGAATGGCATTTTTCGTACTCGTCCTTGGTCACCACCATCACCGAGTCTTTGGTACGTAGTTGAAATCTAAGTCCATGAAAAACAATATCTATAAATAAATAAATAAGTAAATAAAAGAGTCCCGCCTAGAGCCTAAGCGCCCGCCTAGCTCCTGGGCGCCCACCGCCGATTTTTCGAAATTGACTATCTAGTAGCTCAGAGCAAGGCATCGAAGAGTTGAAGAATGAGTCCATGAAAAACAACATCTATTAAAAAAAGACCGGGAGCCTAGGCGCCCGCCTAGCTCCTGGGAGCCCACCGCCTAGGCCGATTTTTCGAAAATGACTATCTAGTAGTAGCTCAGGGCAAGGCATCGAAGAGTTGAAGAATGAGATTCTGTTGATCTCCGAACTCCAACACAAGAAATGAAAATTCCTCTGCTGCACGTATAGCAGAGCAGTTTTTGCCAGTCTTTCTCTTCTCGTTCCTTCTCTCCTTCGTCACTCTCCATTCACACACTCAAAACACTAACATTCTTTTCTTCTTAATTTTTTAGTTATTGCATCGCTTATGCAGGACATAGAGTGGTTGAAACTTTTACAAACTTGCCAATTCTGATAAAGGGAGTACTCACTCATGAAGTTGGTAAGATGAACTGATCAAGGCTCCAAATAACCGTATCTTTATCTTTACGTCTTGTAAGTATTAACTCACAAAGGGAAAGATCAATTTGCGTAAAAAGGAAAAAGGTCTCGTTGATGTTAACTTCTCCCGGTATTCAAGGCATGATGATCAGTCAAAATAATCGACTCGGTGAAATACATTGGATTGACACTTGAAGTCAAATTTGGCATTAGCCCTTCTGAATAGGTGTTCTTCTTTCTACCATTTCAGCAAGAAAGGCTGTGGAAGTAGGTGTTGCTGGGATTGTTGTCTCCAACCATGGAGGCTGCCAACTAGATTATACTCCTACCACCATTTCTGTCCTGGAAGAGGTAGAACTTTATTTCTAATTCATAGTTTTCTGGCGTAACCTGTAAGCACAAACATGGCCTAACTTACGCATGGCTAAGCTTGTATAAAACTGAAATAGGATCTCAAGAAAAAAGGAGTCTTTAAAAGAAACTCTGCCATTGGAAAAGTTGTAAGAATGTTCAATCATATGTATCTATAATGTTCTCAGGTAGTTGATGCTGTTGGAGGAAAAGTTCCTGTTCTGCTTCATGGAGGAGTAAGGCGAGGAACAGATGTGTTCAAGGCATTTGCCTTGGGTGCACAAGCTGTCCTTGTAAGATATCTATATCTAAACAAGCTGCCCTTCTGATATGAACCCTTAAAACTGCTTGTATTGTTTTGGATTTTCTTATTGAAATACAGGCTAATATTGCTGCAGGTTGGAAGGCCTGTAATCCATGGTCTTGCAGCAAACGGAGAACGCGGTGTGAGACGGATTATCGAAATGCTGAAAGATGAGTTTGAGCTCACTATGGCCCTCTGTGGCTGCCCTGGTGTTATGGATATCACCAGGAGCCATGTGAGAACAGAATGTGATCAACTCCACTCCATGCTTTGATTTGTTTTAGAAGCATCAAAATGAAATTATGCAGAGAGATGGATGAAATGAGAATGAGGCCATCAATTATTTGGGAAACTGCTTCAATTAACAGCTAACAGCTATTGGAATTCAACTTGTTTTTTCTTCTCGCTCATATTGTAATTCAACTTCATTAAAAGGCAGGTTAAATTTGTATTTACTATGGAAGTGATAGCATAACATGTGTTTACGTGTCACTGGAGAGAATCATCTTTCGGAAGTCAATTTCCTATGCAAGGTGTGATCAGCCTTTCACACCGATACATTCAAGGTGCTAGGCGGAGGACACCGCCGTGATTTCATCCTAATCGTAAGGAGTAGCCGCCAGGGAGTTGGGCGCCGCCTAGGCCGCCTAGACCGCCTAGGCCGCCTAGCGACCACCTAGCCCCCGCCTAGGCCGCCTAGCGCCCGCCTAGGCCACCTGGGCTGGTCTGGGCTGGCGTTTTGCCGTTGAGGCGTCGACGCTTAAGGTGGCACTGAGGTGCTGCAAGAAGAAAGACCGAGAGAGAGAGAGAGAGAGAGAGAGAGAGAGAGAGAGAGATGAAGTCGAAACAGCGAGAGGAAGGAGTGTAGGCTATGCTGGGAAGAAGAAGAAGACATCTAACCTAATTTTTTAATATAACTAACGGGTTGGGTTTTGTAAAATGGGCTTGAAGGCTTAAACATTGTATTAAAATGGCCCTATATTAAACAAAGTAAACTTTTTTTAGCAGTTTTTTTTTAATATCAATGGTACAGAAAATACAAAAGTAACAGTCGTATAATATCAAGGTTCGAAAATGTTAAACATATAAACCACCATAATAATTACGGCTATTTAAATCATTGAATATTCAAATAATATGTACTGTCAAAGTATTTATATTTATAATGCAGTTTGCACCATTTAGATGATATTATCTTACAAAGGACTGAACATGTTCCATTTAATAGGGCAACCTCATAGTAGTGGGAAAAATAAAAACAAAGAAAAGGTTTCAATGTCCATGCAAAGATTCTATATGTTACCTCCATTCTGAAACGAGAACCTGCATGAAGAAGATCAATTGGTACTACTATTGCGCTCAACTTTTCTTCAATGCTTAACTGAATATTCGCCTTCCATCAATCCTAACAACCATACTTCTCCCAGATGGCTCTCATCAATTTCGGTGTTATACTATCACCATGTTATCTTTACTTTTGCCATGGTTCATGTAAGTCAGCTTTTTAATTTTGGAATTTCCTAAATTGCACCCAGAATCATCATCATCACTGCTACATGTACCACTATCACCGAGGTCATCATCAACTGCTTCAGAGTCTTCGGTATTTGATTGTGATTCCTCCACTTTCTTTTCAGAAGAATTAATACGCACACGATATGCGGATGATGAAATCTTTTCAAATAATGTAATATCACTTGAAAGAGTTGAACCAATTAAAGACTCTAGTTCCTCTATTCCACTGGAAAGGTTCAATTCAAAAATCTGCAAAACAAAAACATTTTTGACATGTGGCGAAATGGGCGCTCGGCTATACTATTTTTGACACGTGGCGAAATGGGCGCTCGGCTATACTATTTTTGCTCGGCGCTAGGCGACAGGCAGGTCTCTTTTTATAATATAAATAGAGTATAGCCGATCGGCTATACTACGGTTTTTATTTAAAAAATAGCATAGCCGACCGGCTATACTCTGGATATATATTTCAAAAGAGTATAGCCGCGCGGCTTTACTGGGGTTTTTTTTATAAATATTATAGCCGACCGGCTATACTCTTTACATAAGACACCAATACCATTTTGAGTTGACCAGTAGTTTTTGGAAGAGTTCGATTAAAATGATTTTCAGAAATGCTTGCCTCTTCTAGGAATGACAGATTAACCAAGGACACTGGAATTGGACCTGATACTGAATTACTCGAAAGAGCAAGGAGGCGTAAATGTCTGAAATTTCCCAGCTGATCGGATAGTGGACTTGAAAAATCATTTGTTTCAGTGACTCCATTTGACCTGAATTACACCCTGACAAGCTTCCCAATATTTCTGATACGCTTCTATTGAAATAGTTCCTTGACAGATCAAGAACCGTCAACTTACAAAGATTTCTCAATGAGTTTGGCATTTTCCCTTCAATTTGATTAGCAGACAAGTCAAGATTGACAATGGCTTTCAAGTTTCCAGTGGAACTTGAAATTTCACCTTGCAAGAGATTCAAATAAAGGGATAGGGACTCAAGATTGCTGCAAGCGTACAACCATTGAGGTATGGTACCCCAGATGATGTTCCACCTGAGATTAACAACTTTAAGCCTTGTCATGTTTGCAACACCAACTGGTATTTGATTGAGTTGGCAACCGGACATATGCAAGCATAGAGGGGAGTGTGTTTGTCACCTGAAACCAATCAGATGCTTTGCTAAGATCTACATGCTCATGTCCAGGTTCTGCAAGCTCGAAAGACCAGAAAGCCATTGGAGATCTCAACCTTCATCCAGTACGTAGTAGCTTTTACTCCGGAGTCCTAGAGAGCGTAGACTCGAGAGATTTCCCAATTGATGCTGAATTATTCCAGCAAACTTCGAGTCTGAGAGGTTAAGATATCTTAAACTTTTAAGAGAACCTAAGAAGCTAGGAATCTGTATTCCTCCAAAATCATTGTTGCTTAGATCCATGTAGCTCAGATGCTTTAAATTTAGTAGAGAAGTATTTACCTTGCCACCCAAAGAGTTTTCTTGATACAAACTGTAATTCAGATACTCATCTGAATAATAATTTCCGAGGTGCAGCTCACGGACATGACCGGTTAAATTGTCGCAGACAACTCCAGTCCAACTGCAACAATCTCCCTCACCAACCCAAGATAAAAGCCTATTTGAAGGATCCTTAAGATCTTGCTTGAACATTAGAAGTGCTTGTCTCTCATTTTGTTCACAAGGCACACCCAAATTTCCATTGCATAAGCTAATGGTAGTAATGGTTGCAATGCTTAGAAATCTGAACACTGAAACAATTCTCATGGCTTTGTCCATGAGGTTATATCTTAATAGGTGATGTGTGTGAGCAATATATAACTCATTTAGCATGGTGCAATATATACACATACTACACTAGAACTGAGAGTGAAGGTCCAAACTCAATATTTTTTTTCAAAATCATTTTCAAAAATGGTGAACAAAGTCGTTGAGTATGTAGACTAGTAATAAGTTATGGGTTTATCCAGAGAAAGAAGACAGAAAAAACATAGAAAAGAAAGTGTGGGATGACTTGATAAAAAAAACAAAAGCAAAATAAAATATTAGCATAACCTCTTCGGCTGGCGGGGACTGAATTCAGACTTGGTAAGAACATATAACTAGGTAAAGTTTCAAAAGTTGAAAACATAGAACAGATATGAAGAAAACGAAACAAATAAACCATTAATTAAGATGGAATCACAAATTCCATATTACGATTAGGATCAAAATGGTTTGCTTCTGGTCATTGGTTAGGGAAAGGTAGATACGGTTAAAATAATAATATTAAATAGATCTAACTATGATCACAGTTATGTATCCCAAACCAAACTATAAGCACATAGCAAGAACATCCTCTCAGACAAAGCTATATGGCCACAACTGACAAAAGGGATCAGGGAAATTAGTAATTGCTTGTGTATATGGCTTCCACCTTCCATTCCACCTATATAAAATCACACTATTTCCCTTGCTTGGTCACAAAGCAGAATAACTTTGTACAACAAAAATAACTTCAGTAATATAGCTCTAGATCTACTGCTACCATTATTTTCAAATATGACAAAACCTACGTACATCCTTGGCTAGCCTATGTTTTGCTTGACAGGGCTCTACTGCATGATCAGACAGGCTGCAAATTTCATTAAGCCAACGCAATCGTAGGGCAACTCTTCTTTGGCAGGTCAATGAAAGTGATTGTACATTTGTAGCTGCATCAGTCATTAGTGCCTACCAAGAAAGAGGAGCCCTATGACTGCTTTGCTTATTTGACAAGTATACTTCTTCTAGTATGTATAGATGCTCCTGCTTGTGTTTCAATGATGGACCGGCACAAGTTATATAAGGGCTCAAAGACTCCAAGAGATGGAATAAACCAGTAAGCACAAATGGCATATCCTGAGGATTATGCTGTGAACATCCATCAAGGGCTGCTTTTCAGGGATTTTGTTGGGGCCAGGGCTCATTCTGCTGCTAGATTTTTCTCCTCCTTATCTGAGCCTTGAAAGCGCTCTTTCCTAGCATATGAGATTCTTCCACTCTCTGTGTCCAAGTTGAAGCAGGAAAAAAGTGGATGAAAGGAGATGCCTCCCCATATTATTATAAGGGGCTGAGAAAGAAGGGCTAACAGCATATCCGAATCTTATTCGTCTTCTTTTCTTTTTTGCCTACATCTGTATATTAGTAATTTCTGTCTTGAATACAAAAGAGTCTCACTTTTATATTGAGCCATCAGTATAGGATCTCCAAATTAGTTTGACTTCAGTTAATCTGCTGCACAACCATGCCATGATTGTGCACAATGCCTCATTCATTTGGTAATCATTTTTCAAATCTTTCTTTTGCGAATGATGTACAAAAAAATCATCACAACTAAAGAAAAATAAGGCCTACCTGAAGGACTTCATGAAGTTAGAGCAGCCCATGTGATCAAAAGTTCTGAAAGTGCTTGCAGTTGTGTTGTGTCATCCTCACCTCCTTACTAGATTCCTTCCTAATTACGCTCTTAACGAAATAAACAAAAACTAAGTAATTATTTTTAGAGCTAATTTAGTTTTAATAGTAAGGCATATATTTAATCACAGGAAGGCTAATCTGATCAATCTGAGTACAGAAAGTTTTTCTTGAACCATAACAGATCTGATCAATTCAACACCAAATGTGATGATAGGTAAATAAACATGACATCAACTATATAGATTTTAAAATTTTAGGTTTCAATCTCTACAATGTTAATCAAATGTCTCAGAGACGTATATTCCAGTAATCACTAATTGCCTTTATGTTTGGGAAACATAAGTGACCAGATCAATTTTTCTTTTTTGATCCATGGACTAATATGTCATGCAGAATCCTTTGCCCCATGTACCTGCACCACATGCACAACAAACGAAACCAAAATGCAGGTTTAAGCAGCAATTAGTATAAGATTTTCGTGAAGATTACGTATATATGATATGTTTTCCAAGTACACTTGCCTTCCAAGCATCGTGACAGTATCTTGAGGATTAGCACCCGGGGTGTGATAAAACGTTGAACCATCAATAACCCTCAGAGAATCAATACCAAGAACTCTATATCCTTTATCAACAACCCTCCCAACTTGACACCCTCCATGATAGTGCCATATGGTCTGTTGGAAATTTTGGTTTATGGATACTACTTTTCCTGCAAAGCATCACAGAAATATATATTAGAAAATTGTAATTTACATTGATATAGTAGATTAAATAATATCATGCATTAGGTGTTTGAAGTCCATGCTCAATTGGAAAGCTGGAGGCCTAATTAAGTCAACTCTACATTGCAATTGAGTTCCAATTAAGCTAAGGGCCAAAGCTAAGTACATATTAATTAAGACCTCTCGTACTCAGAACTTACCTGAAAATCTTGTACCTGATGAGAGAGTGAGTCGTGGAAATTATTCTCTCATTACTCAAAAACATGGTTAGATGAATGCTCCAAAGACTAACCTGACCGAATTTGATCACTATTTTAACTTGAAAATACATGTAATATATGCTGAGTTTTTAAACATCACTTTCATTGATTGGTTGGTAGTAGATCTCTCTTTCATTCCGTGTCTTGCTAGTTTCAAATGTATTTGGTCGCTATTCCTTGACAAAACCCACACATAACAAGACAGACATACATTATATATATAAACAATATTGTTGTGTAAAGCTTGTCAATAAACTATTACAAGTGAGTCATGACTTAATTACAGTAGAATAATAGTTTTAGATTGAGGCAGTAACATATATTATTAAGTTATCATCTCTCTGCTTGCAATGAATCTAGATGGGAATTATGAATTTCCACAATCATCATATCCTTGGTGCAAATAAACTATCAGATAGAAAATAGGGAGCAGAATCTTCAAAAACATTAACAAAAAAGGAATCTTGGGTGGGAATCAGAGACAACGACTGCAAAAAATGGGCTGCCCAGCGCCTAGGCGCCGCCTAGGCCGATTTTTCTAACACCGTTTAAAACTCCCACAAACTATTTCAGCTGTTCTCAAATGATCTATAACTCTAATTAACAAGCACAAAATGACATACATATATATACATACATCGAGTATGAAATTACCAAAATGGCATTACTGTCATCCTCAGGTGAGAGCTTCTGGTCTCTCTGCAAGCTCTATTTTCCTCAGCTTTCGCTGTTTTCTCGTTGCCTTTTCCTGGCTTCTTCGTCTTCTTCCCCATGTCTGGAAACACAGCCAAAGAGGCTCCGACTCGGCGCGAGGAAGAAGAGAGACAGTTATCTGGACGACGCTGATAATATAATTTTAAAAATAGTATAGCCGAGCGGCTATACTATTTGTGACGCGTGCCGGCATGTATGCTAGAGCCAGGCGTCATCTTCTATTTTATAAAAATTATAGCCGCTCGGCTATACTCGGTTTTTGTTTTTAATAAAAAGAGTATAGACGCGCGGTTGTACTCGGTTTTTTTTTATAATAAAAACTAAAAGAGTAAGTAACTTGTTTAGTCTTTTTTTATTTCTTTAACGTGTTTAGTGTTTTTCATTTCCTTTTATTAATACAATAATTATGTTTAGCCTTAAGAAATTCAAACTCCCTTTTCAAACTCACTTTTCACTACTACTTTATATTCTTGCTTTGATTTCCCCAACTTTGTAAAAACACTTTAGTCTCTAACTTTTCTTTTTTTAATCAATTTTCAAGCTTCTTTTGTTGGAATGATGTTTAAAACATAAATTAGTGAATGAGTGTGAATCATGTGTAAAATATTCTCAATAAGTTAAACATAAGTTAATCATGTGTAAATTAGTGAATGAGTGTGAATCATGTTTAAAACATAAAGATATTGTAATTTTTTATTATAAAGAAAGTCGATGTTTTATTCCAAAGAAAGATTACAAAATTTCTTCAACTAGAATATCTCCAATAATATCGGGAGGGTCCCATGCTAGATTGAGGGTTCAATTAAAGATAACGAAAATTGGACTAATCTATGAGCCCCAACATTGGCCTCACGAAACAAAAAACCTAATAAGGTTAAACTAATTTCAAATAACTTAAAGTCACCATGAGTAAAGAACAAATTTCGAAACACAAATGCATTGTTTTAAGGGTTATGATTTTCACACTCCCATTTTCTCCTTATGCTTGTTTTTGTCCCTTGATTCTTCTTTGATATACTCAATTCTAAGGGAGGAGTGCATTGGGAGAAAAGAGGAGTGTGAAAATCACTTCCCTATTTCAAAGGACATGTACGTTTTGATCTATTAAAGTGAAAGAATAACGTATTTTCACACACCAAAAATCCTATTTCCCCAGGCCTTTTCTCCAATATACAAATTAGAACCAATGAGAAGCTAACCGCAAATGTATGAGCTTAGAACTTTCATACGGTTAATCATATAGATAGAGGCACTAATGATGATTGTTGATCTATTTCTTCTTCTTTTTCACATGGCTATGGTTAGGGTTTGGGAATGGCGTAGAAGAAGGTAATGGAGAAGGGACAATAAGGGTAAATTGGGAATAATAGGGGTGAAACAAATAGAAGAGTATTTTTCAAAATTTGGTGTCGGGCAAGAGAAAGTAAGGTGGGCCAAGAAGTAGGAATAGGAGTGTCGGTGTTACTCCAGAACAAAACATACAAAAGAATCCAACACCCAGCAAAAATTCTCTTCAACAATTTAATATAGATAAGAAAAGAGAAAAAACCACATGAAAAGCAAGAGACTATTGTAGGTATATATATGACAAAACTTGAAAATATATTATCTTTAGATTGCATTTTATGTAGTTATCACGTGCACCACACCAAGCTGTTAATTAATATAGTATAGAGGACAACACAACTGTGTAATTAATGAAATTAAGGGATGATGTTTGTGAACTGTTTGTTTGTGTTGTAAGAATCTAAGCTCATCAGTCAATTCAACCTTCTTTTGATTACTAATTCAAAAGAAAAAAAAAATACAAGTTTAGAATTCTTACATTTTCGTATGGTATTCAATTGTGACTTTTAAAAAGTCTTTAAAAGTTTCGTGATATTCAAAAAAATTATGACATTTAAAGAATTGATTAAATGAATGATTTTTGTAGAGTTTCAAGAGAAAATATTAGTGCCAAAAGTCTGGTCAACACTCAAAAGACTTGTATTGACTATATGATTGATAAATATACCTCCCTCCCATGTCACAATTCACGAATGCGTAAATATTTTATGTATTTTTCATTCCTTTAATTCATGTTCCTCTCTTGATTGGTGTGGATTTTCAATTCATTGATTTATGCTTCTTCTTATTTTTTTTGGTCATATAGGAAATTTCATGTAAGAGCCGAAAGGGTAGGAGAAAACAACCCAAACAGAAACAGTATCTAACAAAGTGGAAACAAGCCACCCATTATCAAAATGACAAAATAAAATACAAAAATGCCTACAACATGCCCAACCTGTTGACAAGGAAGACCATCCCTAGAAAATCAAAACTAATGAGGGAGGGGTTGCACAACACAATTTTGATTTGGCATCTGTTTTGGCATATTTGCCTCAAGTATGTGTTCAGTTAGAATTGGTTAATTAAATATGTATGACATGTCACATGCCACATCATTTGAGACTCAAATTCGTAAATTTGGTGTCCCTGTTATTATTGTTAAATAACAAGTATAACACTCTAAAGAGAGTTTGATTTCTTAGTCGCCTTAGGCAACTATTACTTGGACATCTTGTGAAACATCATGCTGTAATGACCTTTCGTTCGTTCTTGTTTTTTTGCGACGAGTAATGACTTTTTAAACTTTTTCACATCTAAATCTTCAAATCTTGATCGTCCGCCTACAAAAAAAAAAAAAAAAAAAAAAAAAAAAAAAAAAAAAGAAAATGAAAAAAAAAAGAACATTTCTTGACAAGTACAACATGACTTCTCCTATAAATACCCTGCATGGTGTTGCCTTATTTTGTCACTAGAAAGCCACCATGGCCATCTCCTCTCCCTTGCTATACTGCTTTCTTTCTCTTTGGCTAGGCCATGCTGTTCATCAGCTTGAGGCTTCCCACCAAGTTTACAGAAACCTTCCAACTTATTCCCAGTTAACTTCTTCACATCATCACCTAGTTAATGAACCGTACAGAACTGGTTATCATTTCCAGCCTCCCAAGAATTGGATCAATGGTATATCTTCCCTCATATATGACCTCTTTAATCTTCCTTCTCATTTTTTCATTTCATTTCTTTTTTTTAGAAAAAATTTCTTTCACTTTTCCTTAGCTCTAACAGCTCCTTTTTTTTGCTTCTTGTGTTTGTCATTGACTTGTTCTAATTGTGGAACGAACAAATGGGTTTGTTTGGTTGCACAGATCCTAATGGTTAGTTTGTTTCTCCTCTTGTTCTGGTCCATTTCATGATGCATTGTTGGCTTGGGTACTGTCTAATTTCAATGGTACTAAGAAAGCCTTGTATTCTTCTTGTTGCAGGACCATTGATTTACAAGGGAATTTATCATTTCTTCTATCAATACAACCCCTTAGATGTAGTTTGGGGAAACATTGTCTGGGCCCATTCCACATCAACTGATCTTGTTAACTGGACCCCACATGATGCTGCTATCTACCCATCACAGCCGTCAGACATCAACGGCTGTTGGTCAGGTTCCGCCACGATCCTCCCTGGGGGCAAACCGGTGATGTTATACACAGGAATAGACCCCCAAAATCGCCAAGTTCAGAATTTGGCCTACCCCAAGAACCTCTCGGACCCATTCCTTAGGGAGTGGACCAAGATCCCACAAAATCCACTAATGGCACCCAGCCAAGCTAACCAAATCAATGCAAGCTCATTTAGGGACCCAACCACTGCTTGGCTAGGCCCAGATAAGAAATGGAGAGTGATCATTGGAGGCAAAACGAACCAAACAGGAGAGGCTATCCTATATAGGAGCAAAGATTTCCTTAATTGGGTTAAGGCCGAACAACCACTTCACTCAGCAGAGAAAACTGGAATGTGGGAATGCCCTGATTTTTTCCCAGTTTCAATTCATAGCCAAAATGGTCTTGACACATCAAAAATTGGTCCTGATGTTAAGCATGTGTTCAAGGTGAGCTTAGACAACACTAGGCGAGAGTACTACACAATTGGGACATATAACATCGACAAGGATATCTATATCCCGGATAAGGGCTCAGTGGAGAGTGACTCAGGCTTGAGATATGATTATGGAAAATTTTATGCTTCAAAAACTTTCTTTGACAGTTCTAAGAACCGTAGAATACTGTGGGGTTGGATTAATGAATCTTCAACTGTGGAGGATGATATCAAGAAGGGATGGTCTGGACTTCAGGTACAGAATTAAATAAATAGCTTTATACGCATGCATGGTAATATTATTTTTCCAGACAAATATTTATGCGAATCTAGATCGTACAGTTTTAAAATGATCAATTATTCAGATTCACAACTT